AGAGAGATTATGTAAAGGTGCAAATTTCCAATGATGAATGTCATTATATTGTATACCTAAAATGTACCAATAAAATAATATTTTTAAAAATTTAATAGGCATGGTGGTGCATGCCTGTAATCCCAGCACTCAGGAGGCTGAGACAGGAGGACTGCCATGAATTTGAGGCCAGACTGGGCTATATAGTGAGTTCAAGGCCAGCCTGAACTACATAGTGAGATCTTGTCTCAAAAAGTAAAAAAAAATTTAATAGCAAATAATAATATCAATGATCCAATTAAAATCAGCAATAGATATAAATAGGCTTTTTTTTCAAAATATGACATACCAGTGCCTAACAGGTGCATAAAAGTGCTCAATATAACTAATAATCAGGGAAATGTAAATCAAAAATACAAAGAGATATCACCTTACACTAGTAAGAATCAAAAATACTAAAGATAAAAAATGTTAGTGAGTGGCCTGAGATTTAGCTCAGTGGCACCAAGCCTGCCTCACAAGCGCAAGGTCCTGAGTTCAATCCCTGGTACCAGAAAAAAAATGATGGCGAGGATAAAGAGAAAAGAGAACCCCACACACTGTTGATGGGAAAATAGATTAGTACAGCTACAGTGGAAAACAGTTTGGCATATCCCCCAAAATTAAAAATAGAACTACCATATGATCCAGAAATCCCACTTCTGAGTATACATCCTAAGGAAATGAAATTAGTATGTGGAAGAGACATCTGCATGCCCATATTCATTGCAGCGCTATTCTCAATAATTGAGAAATAGGGGCTGGGGATTTAACTCAGTGGTGATAGTGCCTGTCTCGCAAGCACAAGGTCCTGAGTTCGATCCCTGGTACCAAAAAAAAAAAATTGAGAAATAGAAGCTACCTAAGTATCCAACTGATGAGACACATTGTGGTACATTCATAATTCAGCTATCCCATTTCTGAGTATATTACAAAGGATATGAAATCAGCATACTAAGGAGATATCTGCATGCCCATATTTATTATGTCAGTAATCATAATAGCTAATATATCATAGAGGTCGGGTATCATAGGCTGGGTAATGGGCACCAAAACACAGAGACATGAAAGGAGTAATTTTAAAATTCACAGTACAATGGAATGCAGGATGAAATGAAAAAAGAATTCATAAAGAACTCTTATAACTTATAATAAAAAGACAAAAATCAGTCTAAAAAAATAAGTAAAGGCTCTGAATAGACCTTTCTTCCAATATACACACATGCATAAGCACAAAACGATGTTCTAACCAGGCATGGTGGCACACACCTGTAATCCCACAACTCAAGAGGCTGCAGGAGGATTGGTGTGAGTTCAAGACCAGCCTCGGCTACATAGTGAGCTCAAGGCTAGCCTGGACTATGTTGCAAGACCCTGTCTCAAAACAAATAAACAAACAAAAAATTCTAAGCATCAAGGAAATGGGATCCACTTCACACCTACCAGCATAGCCACATAACAGCAATCAGGCAAAAAATGAAATCAGAACTTCTCTGTTGGCATTATAAAATGGTGCAGTCACATGGAATCTACCAGTTCTTAAAATGAATGAATATGTTTACCATAAAAGCCAAAAAAATTCTATTACCAGGCATATACCCAAGAGCAATGAAAGCATACATTCACATAAACACTTGAACACAAATGTATATAGCAACATTTTTCATAACATCCAAAATGTGTAATAAGCCCAAATAGTTCAGCTGATTAATGGATCAATAAAATATGGTAAATTCACATGTTAATATTCGGCCAGAAAAAGGAATGAAGTATTGATACAGGCTGAAACATGGGTAAACACTGAAAACAGCATCCCGAGTGAAAGAAGACAGACACAAAAGATTATGTATATTATTCAACTCATTTAAAATGTCCAGAAGAGAGGAATCTACATATAGAGATATAATGGAAGGTAACAGTTTCTCAGAACTCCAGAGAGGGCAGTCTAAGAGATCGGCAAGAGAAGAGCTAAAGGTTAAGGGATTTCTTTTTGAAGCAATGAAAATACTCTAAAATTGCCAAGGTGGTTGCATATATCTGTGAATGTACTAAAAAATCATTGAATTGAATACTTTAAATGGGTGAATAGTAAGGTATATGAACTAAATCTAAACAAAACTGTTTCAAAAAGTTGACTCTTGGCAAACATTTTTCAAAATAAAAAAAATACAACATTTCCCCTCAGTGGATTTTGAGGGGAATTACATTGTTTATTGACTTTTTCAGATACAGGTGACAATATATTACTAACAATGTGACTTATAAATTGTACTTCCATTATACATGAAACAGAATTAATATTCAACAGTTAGAAGCTTACATTCATTGAGGAGTTTGTTTGACCAATAGTTTCATCATCTGTTGGGAACTGATATATCTGGATGCCATTGCTAATCAATTCACTCATTATCTTACTCTTGAACTTCTGTAAATCATTTTTAGAAACTGTATCTGCTTTGGCAATCAATGGTATAATGTTTACCTATTAAGGAAAACAAAATTTCACCTATGAAGATTTGTTGTTTATCCTATAGTATTCACAGTCTACGATTTATAGCCTCTGGAAATAAATTTATGTAACTGGCTGTCAATCCGCCCCTTAAAAATTGTTTTCCCCAAACCATCAAGACCTTGGAAAATTCACCTTTATCAGAATGCAGGTTTAGAGCTCTCCATCTTGTCTCTTATTAAAAAAATCTCTTACACTTCCAACCCATCTGAAGTTAGCAAAATATAATACAATAAAGTAGGCTGTTTATTTTATTATCAATTTTATTTCCTATTAAACCGAGTTATAAAATGAGAATCAGAGACCATCAAAATTGTAGAAGACATGGAATCTTCCTTTTAACCATCATTCTTGTTCACCACCTTCTCCATAAATGCATACTAATCAATGCTCCATCTCCACTTACCCTTGTTCTACCTAAATGCGTTTACAGGCAGATTTGCTTATGTCTTTCAATGACCACCTAAAAATATACAAAAATTTTTATTATCGAATTCAAAAGGCTGAGAGTATGTGGGCATAGGAATGAAAACCGCTTTGCTAGCAAATATATTCATTTGTAATTAAATGAAGGAATTTTTTCCGCGTTTGAAGTTAGTATTTATATATTTAAATTTGAATTTTTTACTCATAAATATTTTCCTAGTTCTACAAAGACATGGGAATATGTAGCCTATCAAAAAGGAAGCCCCAGCCAGGGATTTAGCTCAGTGGTTTTGCTGCCTGCTGCGCAAGCGCAAGGACCCCAGTTCAATTCCCACTACCACAAAAATAAAAAATAAATAAATTTTTAAAAGGAAGCACGCATGGGTCCCACGCTTTCGCTAGAAAGAATTATACTTTTTTTTCCTCTTTCTACATAGCAGGCAGTAGCTGCTTGCCTGTTACCCATTCCGAATCCTTTCTGACAAGATTTACAGACAGAATCAGAAAAGCTTCATGTATCACAGCATCAGTGGCACCAGAGGTAAACAGGATTATTTTATAGTACTATAGAGTAAATTTGATTTCAAAAATATAGGCAAATGCCCATGATCTGAATTAGCATTTAATCACAGAGAAAAACTCTAACTAAAATTTTGGTCTTTTTTACATGCATATCCTTTTACTAAGGTATAATCTTAAATAAATTTATAGAAAAAGTAACATTGAAACGTGTTAAATGTTGAATTGTCCCTACCACTAAATCCATATGTTGAAGCTCCAGGCCTTAATATCTCAGATTGTGACCGTAACTGTAGAGACTTTAAAGAAGTGATTAAAGTATAATGAGGCTTGGCAGGGGTCTAATCCAATTTGATTTGTGTCCTTCTAAGAAGAAACTTGGACATACAAGCACCAGAAGAAAGGCCATGTGATGGTGAAGCGGGGGCACCACCCGCCAACCAAGAAGAGAGGATTCAGAAGAAACAGACCTTGCCAATGCCCTGATCTTGGACTATGAGCCTCCAGGACTGTGAGAAATGATTTTTCACTGTTTACATCATCCAACCTATGACATTTTGTTATTGAAGTGCTATGAAACTAATTCAAATACTCTAAAGACTAACAGGAAAAATTATTATAATATATAGGCATATTATAAAATAAAGGTACTTGCATGTGAATGCTTCAAGATACTGTATATTATCACAAAATGAGCAGTAAATATTGAAAGGTCAATGGATATACCAAACACACCTTTCTGTCAATGTTCTTCATTGTTAACAGGTCGAGGGACTTCAGAGAATGTCCCGTAGGCGAAATGAAGTAGAGGCATACATGGATACGCGTATCGTGATACTTGAAGGAACGTTTAATTTTTAGTTCTTCTTGAAGATAGGCCTCAAACTGAGCATCTATGTAGTCAATTATTGGTTGGTAGCTAAAAAATAAACATCTAGCATTACAAATTAATAAAATCTGAATCTGATTTTCAGCCATCTAATAAACAGTATGTATGCTGAACAGTTTCCCATATGGATAAAAATTGTGTATATGTGTTCATCCAAAGATAATTCCAGGCTGGAGGCGTTATCAGTGGGGTGTGGCTCAGGAGTAGAAGGCTTGGCATGTGCAAGACTCTTGGTTCAATCCCTGGCACCAAAAAAGAGAACAACAACAATTCTAAACCAGTAGTTTACCATGAAGAGCTGTGAACAGTCAAAACATTCATAAATCCTAAAGCTGAAGGTGTCAAAAGTAATGAAGAGGGGTCAGTTACTTACCAGATATAATTATAAAGTAATGAGAATATTTGGGGATACATAATAAAAGAGAGAGTTGAGAAATTGTGCAAAATGCCTAAATGTTGCTAAAGTGGATTTTGCTGGCACCTGGATTATTTTAATTTTTTTCCGCTTAAATTCTTTTATTGGTACATTTTAGGTGTACAATACATTTTCATTCATCATTGGGAACTTGTACCTGTACATGATGTATTTTGGTTCTTATTTTTTTCTCCATATTTTAATTTTTTACAGAAATTATTTTATTACTTGGATAACTGAGAAGTCTAACAAGTAAACAAATGGGAAAATCATTTTTAAAATATTTAAGAAACAACTTTAGCATAAAGGAGGAATAAGAGGTGGAATGGTGATCTCTAAGAAGGTATTTCCATGTCCATGTCCCTGGAAACTATAAATATATTTTTGCAGGTTGGGGGAGAAGGTTGTAGATGAAATGAAGCTAAGAACTGTGATGAAAGATCATCCTGGATTATCTGCATATACTCTAAATCCAGCCATGGTTGTCCTCAGAAGTGCTCATAATGAGCAGAGGAGAAGCCATGTGGGGGGTGGAAACACAGTTTGGAGGGACGGAGCTGGAATGACAGTGTACACTGGGAGCTGAAAGAAACAAAGGAATTTATTTTCCCCTAGAAACTCCAAATGGAGTTTGATCCTGAAAATACCTTGATTTTGGACTTCTGCACTCCAGAGCTGTGAAAGAAAAAGTTTATAGGGTTTTTGTTGCTGTTTGTTTTGTTGTGAGTTTCTGTTGTTTGAAGCCATCAGTCTGTGGTCATTTGTTGCAACAGACTCAGAAAGAGAACCTAAGACGCACTGCCTGTCGTGGCTCTTCCTCCACAATACAGTTAAGTGTACAGTACACCGGACACGCTAACACTGAGTGTAAGCCCATATTTAAAAATACTTTCCAACAAACTGACTACAAAGGTGGTATTCATTTTCTAAGTATTAACAGCTCTTTAATGCGAATCATCTGCCTTTGCCCCTTTTCTAATATGTTTATTCCCGTTATAAGTTTCACCCCAATACATTTTCATATTTATTATCATCTGAGTACTGTACTTGTTCCAAAACTCATCTTTCACCGGTGGTGTGCAGGCTAATGCTTAAAAAGTTGTTTTTTTGGAAAGAAAAAATACTGATCTGTAGGATTTGCTGACTTCTACGGTGTGAAGCCAAGTCACATGATGTCGTTGAAGGAAGAGCTGGGGGGTGATGAGCCCAATGTGCTGTCACAAGTCCGTGTGCGTCAGCCTAAGTGCAACACTGCATCAAAGCCGCAGAAAACACGTCTATATGTGAAAAATACTTTTATGGGCCGGGGGGTTAGCTCAGTGGTTTCACCTCCGGCTGCGCAAGCACAAGGACCCGAGTTCGATCCCCGGTACCAACAAAACAAAACAAAACTTTTACTCTAAAGCTAACTTTCAGTGGGAGAGTCACATATAATCATTAGTATACAAGCATTTTTTGAAGGAGTAAGAATCTAAAACTATTGCTATGATACTATTTCCCTCTATCACACTTTAAATCTGATACAGAACTATAATACTAGAGGAGAAAGAAAAGCTAAAACTAGCACAAAACACAGAAACCATTTGCTACAATTGGTTAATCCAAAACCTTGTAAGAGAAACCAGAAAACTGGATATATGAAATGTCAATTTCATGAGAACATTATTTAACTAGAAAAGAACTAAAATCTGGAAGGAAAGATAATTACCTTAGAAGAATATTACAATTTAGGAAAAAGGAAGGCAAATTTCTTGAAGTAAAAAACTTTAATTGATTAATATAAGAAAATACTAACCTGCCTTCCTTGTTTGTTTGATCACCATACCCTACTGTTTTCACAACCGTCAACTTCAATTGAACATTGCTTTCCTGAAGATCATATGTCTGAACTATAAGTCCAACATTTGGATAAAAATGAGAGGATTTGTTATCTTTCAAATTAGTATTAAACAATGCATTAATCAGTGTTGATTTTCCAATTCCAGTTTCCCCTGTAATAAACACAGATACATCATCATGGGTGGATAACAGGGTGCAGAAATAACACTCTGAGCTGATGCAGAGGCTTAAAGGGCCCCCTAAATTTTTAAAGAAGAGTAGAATAATGGTTAGAAGCTGGTAGGGGGAATAGAGAGATATTGATAGAAAGATACAAATTTCAAATAGAATACATTTTGAGATCTGTTGTACAGGAGGGTGACTATAGTTAACAATGTTATATATTTTAAAAAACTAAAAACAAGTTTCAAATGTATCGCCATAAAAAACACAGGCAAGGCTGGGGATTTAGCTCAGGGGTTTCGACGCCCGCTGAGCAAGTGCAAGGACCCGAGTTTGATTCCCAGTACCAAAAAAAAAAATTAAGCAAATGAAGGGATGACTACATTGATACCTTGATTTACCCTTTGCATGTTGCATACAAAGTCCAGCATGCCACATTGTGCTCCAAAATGTGTATGATTGTAATTTGTTATTTAAAAATATTAATCTCAAATAATCCCAAACACTTCAAAGATTGAGATAGGCCTGAAAATAGATATGCTAGTCATGACTCTTAGTCATTAACATAGCATAGGAAGAAAATATATGCTAAGCTATGTCAGATTTTGAAAAACATGGATTTAAATTTAAAGTTTAAGTAATATGGCCAAGAATATGGAAACCAATACAAACTTTAAAAAATCATCTTGAATTCATCAGACTATGTAAGAGAAGTGGAAATAAGCATAAGAAAAATGTAGTGTTTGGGACTCACCCACACAGAGAATATTAAAAGAGAATCCTTGCCGCATGGACTTGCTCACCAGTTGATAGGGCAAACATTCAAAACCAAAGTGGCCAAGAGTAGTTAAGCAACGGATACTTTCTTTTTCCTTAAAGAAAAATAAAAAGGTTTTAATTAGAACAGGAAATGAAGCCATTTGAATGGACCATACTAGGTTACAAAAACTAGCATTAGTTATTATTTTATTATCATATCTCAGACCAAATTCGGATGTAAATAAATCTGTGCAAAAAGAAGTCTGTATTCAAATACAGTATACAGATGTTGCTATTATATACATATATGTATATATTAGTGGCCTTTGTACTTCTTTTTAGAAGTGTCTGTGGGTCATTTGCCCATTATTTGATTGTGTCACTTGGCTTCTCGTTCTTAAGTTTTGAGCTCTCTATATATTCCAGATATTAACTCTGTCAGATGAATAGCTAGCAAATATTTTCTTACATCCTACAGGGAGTCTTTTCACTCTGCTTAGTTTTTCTCTGGAGTTTGGAGATGGGACTTTTCTTCCAGCTGCCATTACCAAAGGCTGGCTGTTGCAGTCTTGGGCGAGGGGGCCACCCCAGCAGTAGGAAGCCCCCAGTGACGTCCAGGTCGTGGCAGGTCATGGGCTCAGAATGTGATACAGCATTCCCACATTGGTGGCCTTCGGCATACCCTTTGGTGGCCTGATGCCCCCACACTATTCTGCCTAAAGCCAGGAAGAATCCTCCAGCCCCTGACCTCAGTGTGGTGACTGTAAAGTGTTGGGGCCTGTCCTTGTCCCATGATCTGGCTTATGAGGACAAACTGCCTTTTTATACACATCGCCGCCACCACCACTACCCCTTGTTCCAAGGTGACCGACATACCAACTACAGACCTGGGTTGAAGAACCATCAGTATATTCATGACAAACCTAAACTCAGGGCGCCATCTAGTGCCAAAGGACCAGATGTGCCGTGACTCCAGGCTCAGAGAAAGGAAGCAGCCTGTTTAGAATTTCTGGAAAGACAGGCGCAAAGCCAGATTAGGAGACTTAAATGGGTATCTAACCCTTCAGTCAGGAACAGGAGCCTGGAAGATATTGTCTGTGCTGTGGTCATAGATGACACCTCACCCTGCAATGCTCAGATGCATCACACACCGACAACCATCAAGAACTTGCCTAGTGGCTGGGGATTTAGCTCAGTGGCACCGCACCTACCTTGTAAGCGCAAGGTCCTGAGTTTGATCTCCGATACCGCAAAAAAAAAAAAAAAAGAATTTGCTTGGAACCATAATTTCATCTAACAGAAAAAAGTAAATAAATCAAGTGCCAGAAACTGGTTGTATACTAATCACTATGGGTAAGCTCTCAAAGAATTTAAATGGCTATTCTAAGGAAACCCAGAGAGTTTCAGGAAAACAGGAAACAGTTCATCTAACAACAATATTTACATAGATATGGGAGCCATTTTAAAAATCAAACTAATCCTTGAGCTGAAACACTCTAAGGGAAATTAAAAATCCCATTAAAGCCATTATTATAGACATCTGAGTTAGGTAGAAATAGTCTAGGCAGTCAGACAGGGCTAGGCCCTCGAGGGAGTGAGTGCAGAAGATGAGAAAACATCACACCTGTGGCTGGAGGCGCATCTGTTGAAGGTCAGGGCTCAAGACAAAGAATGACCAGGCCTATTATGCCTCCCCAAGTGATAAACAATATACTGTAATTGGTATCAGCTGGCCCAATAAAGTCTAGCTAGACACCAGTCACCCAGGTGGGTGACCAGGACCTCCTGATCCATCTCTTCCAGAAATAGTCCCTGTTCTTTCCATGTACACTTGCCACATGACCTGCTTACCTACTAGATCAATATTACCTAAGCAGCTATACTTATAATCTTATGGGTTGATCACAGTTTTGTCCTATGTTGTACCAACTTCATGATTTTATACCCACCTCATGATTTTGCTCTATAAAACTCCTCTGTAAAGTGGGGTTCATGGCAACCCACTTGGGTCCCCTCCTGCCTCTCAAGAGCTATCTCTCTCAATAAGTGTTTCCAGAGGTCCAGGGATTTAGCTCAGTGGCACTGCACCTGGCTAGCAAGCACAGTGGCCTGAGTTCAATTCCCAGTATCAGAAAAAAGAAAAAAAAGTTTTAAAAAATAAGTATTTCCTACTCTTAACCTCCGTTGTTCCTTAGAATTAATATTTCGATTTTGGGAAACACAAACTCAGAGTATTTGATATCTAGCAAGTTGAGAGTTTCCCCTATATCATTTGGAGATACTATATCAGCATCACTAGAAGACTGAATCAAAGAAAAGAAAGAATGAGCACAAAGACAGGCTATTGAAAAATGCACAGGTGTTAAGAAAAAAATGAAGAGGAATATTAGACACTTATGGTAGACTTAGTACAGCATCTAAACAGCAAATCTTTGGGTTATTGGAGCTCAAGTGGGTCTTGAGAAAACCAGTGGAATAGAAATTTATTCAAAGAAATAACAGAAAACACAGCAAATGATACAAATATCCAAGTACAGGAAAGTCAAATCTACCCCAAGATACATTACACTCAGTCTCTGAAAGATAAAGGATAAACAGAAGATTCTGAAGGCTGCAAGAGAATAAAATCAAACAGTAGGAAAAGCTGTTCCAGTTTTCTTACAGGCCAGGAGAAAAATGGAAATTTTCACAGTACTTAAGGAAAATAGCAAAGGTATCCTTTTGAAAGTAATGAGAAACAAAGACATCCTCAGACAAACCAAAGCTGAAAGAACACATCTCTACCAGAATTGTCCTTCAAGAAATGCCAAAGGGAGTTTTTCAAACAGAAAGAATGAGACGCTAATGAGTAAGAAGAAAACACTGCAACATAGAGAACTCAGTGGTAAAACTACACTGAGAAGCGCAGAGTGCTGTACTATGGTAAACGCAGTGCACACGACATTCCTTCTTTTCTATGAAAAAATAATAAAAAGGAGCAAAGATGATGGATTTGAGGCAGGCAGAATTTTCCAGCTTCCCCATGACTTGGAACTGAGAGAGCTGAAACCAGGCCACTTAACCAAGTGGGTGACAGAGAATGTATGATGGTCCATATTGCACAGATGGGGACTTGGAAAGACCCAGAGATTCGGGTTAGCCAGTCATAGGGACAGAAATGCATCAGCTCAGAGCCCACAGCAGAGGTCGGGGCACAGCAGAGGGAAAAGAGAAGATGCAGAGGGAGAGAGATACAAAAACCGGCACCGAAAAAGACCCAGAGCAGAAAGGCCGACTATGCTTAGCTGGTCTGGGAGCTACACACCAAGCTGATGCCTAAGGGGACTGCAAGATACCCACTACGCATGTGTGTCTGCTGGGTCAGATTCCGGTTTCCAGCTTGGAGCTGGGAAGGGGTGAGGACCTCCTTTATACCTGGCATTTCCAAACTAGGGCTCACCCGACCCCCCTCAGGGGCCCACCCCTCAGGAGCCAGGTGGGACCAGGCCTCTTGGCTCCAAGTGGGGACCGGGGCTATTTTCCAGAGAAGATGACTTCGAACAGTTTTGAAGGATCTAAAACCTACAGGTGTGTACCTGTAGGCATGGAAGATGATGAAGAATGTGCAGAAGCATTTAATAGATTAAAACCTATCGCGAATTTCCCAAGTAGCAGTGCTGTTTCAGCATCAACTGTGGGCCTCTCAGGTTTCTTCCATTTTGTTTTGTTTTTTGGTACCGGGGATCGAACTCGGGTCCTTGTGGTTGCAAGGCAAGCAGCAAGAACCACTGAGCTAAATCCCCAGCCCTCTCCCAGGTTTCTTTATACTGGTGAAGGAAATGCTGTGGGGTGCTTTAGATAGAAGCCACTGGAAACAATCCCAAACTGCACATTCATCAACGGATTTTACTTTGAAAACAGTGTGAGCAGGCTACAAATCCTGGTGTCCAAAACGGAAAATACAGAATCAAAAATTACCTGAGAAGCAGAAATCATTTTGCTTTAGACAGACTCACTCAAAACTGGACAGATGGGCCGGGGATTTAGCTCAGTGGTTCTGCCACCTGTCTCGCAAGCGCAAGGACCCGAGTTCAATCCCCGGTACCAAAAAAAAAAAAAAAGAACTGGACAGAGACCTGAGGAACCTAAAGTCATTTCAGAACTGCTTGTAATTTGGGTTTCTCATGATTTAAATCTTTAAATCTTTAAAGAGCAAAATAAAGGACAGGTAATAGAAATAAGGGAGACAGAACTTTTGCAAATGGAAAAGGGATCTAGAGATGGAGGGAGGGGAAGTAAGGGAGGGGAAAGGGAAGTAAAAAGAATGAATTAAGATGTATTATGTACATAAACCAAATCCCCACAACAAATGCAATCATTATGTATTGCAAATATGTACTCAAATTTTTTAAGTCGTTTCATAACTGGCCAGACAGTCCCCATTTAAACCCCAGAGAGTTTTCAAGTTCTGGACTCTACTACATAGGTATTGATGACCAAGTGTAATGTGTCTCTTGCAATGGAAAACTGAAAAAATGGGACCCTTGTGATTATCCCTGGTCAGAACACAGGTGACCCTTCCCTAACTCTTCTTTGTTTGGGGGCTGGAACTGTGTTGTGAGTTGTGATAGGAATTTCACAAATTGGACAATCCCTCCAAGAAATCCAGCCTCTCAGTTCACAAGCAGCCACTTGTAAGAGTTGGATCGTCTGCTTTAGGTGAGGGTGATACAATAAGGTGCTTTCACTGGAAGGAGGAAGACCAATGGGAAGCCTGGCAAAGACCCCAGGAAACAACCTGCTAAGAGGTGTCCAGTGTAAGCATCTGTTGGACGAGATGGAACCAGAATATATAAACAGTATTCATTTCACCCATTCACTTGGGGAGGCTCTGATAAGAATTGCTGAAAAAACACCATCACTGACTAAAAGAATTGGTGATTCTTCCAGGATCCCATGGAACAAGAAGCTATATGAAGAGGAGTCAGTTTCAGGAATTTTAAGAAAATTATGGAGGGAAAAAATTCAGACATCTGGAAGCAATCATATGTGAGGCTCTGGCTGGGGATCTAGTGAGTGCTCAGAAAGACAGAACACGAGGCGAATCAAGTCAGACTTCACTGCAGAGGAGCTAAGGCGCCTGGCAAAGGAGAAGCTTTCTAAAATGTGTGTGGATAGAAATATCGGTGTAAATGGGGTGTAGTGGTGCACGCCTGTAATCCCAGCACTTGGGAGCCTGAGGCAGGAGGATTGGCGAGAGTTCAAGGCCAGCCTGGGCTACATGGTGAGTTCAGGGCCAGCCTGAACTACAAAGCAAGACCTTGTCTCAAAAAACAAACAAAACAACAACAAAAATGTTGCTGTAGCTTTTATTCCTCATGGACATCTGGTCACTTGTAAACAATGTGCTAAAGAGGTTGACAAATGTCCCTTGTGCTAAACAGTCATCATTTTTCAAGCCACTCCAAAATTATGTCTTCATCTGACTCCAGGGTAAGCATGCTATGTTCTCCTTGATACCTTGATTTAATGTGAAAGAACTTGAAGTCATCAGCACTGAATCCCATCAGCCTTTGCTACCAAGTAGAAAAATGACACAAAGAGTGGTGTTTCAGTTAGTAAGCTCAATTTTGAATTTCTGGATTTTTTTGGTTATTAGCTGTAACATTTATGCAATTTTCAATTAAAAGTCTAGGCTAAGAAGCATCGTATTGTAAATGCTCATGATATGTATTTGTAGGACACTTAGTTTCTAAGTGTAAGTGAACTAATTATCCTAACATTTCATTCTTTTCAAATAGCCTTAAAAAATGGAGCATTCTGTATAAACATGGAGATTATAGTTAATCTCCCAGTCACATAATTTGTTTTGTGTGAAAAAGGAACCAACTGTTCCACACTGGTAGAAAGATAGAGGTTATTATTTTTTTTTTTTTTGGTACCGGGGATCGAACTCAGGTCCTTGCGCTTGCACAGCAGGCAGTGAAACCACTGAGCTAAATCCCCGGCCCGATAGAGGTTATTTTTAGATGTTTGTCTTTGTGTTTTAGGATTCGGTCCATTTTCTTTTAAAATTATAAACACATACTTGGGATGACTTTAAAAAGTGGTTTTGCCACTTCTAAAAGGGTATTTAATGACAGAATCCCACCTAGCCAACAGGTACTGATATAGAAAGGTGTCAGAGATATATTAAGTACGAAATTCAAGTGGCAAAGCACTGTGTATAACAGAAGCCAAATCAAGGTGTGTGTATTTTGTATCTGTACAGGACAAAAGATTTGGAAAGATGTATGCACCAAACTGTTAAATGTGTTTTCTCTTGAGAGACTGGGAGGGTCCTAAAGAGGTTTCCAGGAGCTCTTCAACTTTTTAAAAAATGTTGTTTCGTTTGAAATTTTTATAACTATGTATTACTTTTGTAATCAAAATTTATAGAAAGTATTTTACTTATTTAAAGGCTCAGGCATGTTCAAATCCCTGGAAAACTATTTATTGCAGCTTTAGTTTTTCTAATCCAAGAAGGAAGGGCAGTTAACCTTTCTGGTGCCATTGGGTAAATTTAAATGTTTTTATGTTTTGATTTGCAGATGGAAAATATTTCTCAGTAGTAGTTTAACGACAGGTAAACCATGCCTTACCTTGTTTCAAAATAAATATTTCTGATTTTGTGAAATGAAACATAAAATATGTCTCAAATCTCCCAATGAATGAGTAAAGATTGATCCTTAATCCATGCTAGCTAAGCCTGCCTAGGTCACTTTCCCAAAAGGTCCTTATGAACCCAGTATTTTACACATCTGTCAGTTACATAGGTAAAAGTAGAGGTATGTTCGGACCCTGCTTGTAGCTCTAGTGACAGTTTTCCATTGGGACCCTCCTGGCATCTTGTATCTTAAAGTTTCATGAGTTTTTTACCGGTAGGATGATCCAGATACATATAGGGCAAAATGTTATATCTTTCTTTTGCCTAAATTTTTTGTTTTCTTGACTACTAAGAGTAGTAGATACTTCTTTTTTAAATGTTCTCTCAAGACCCTTGAAACTTCTTGGAAATTATGAAATAGCAACAGGAGTAAAAGAATAGTTATGTAAGGTTTTTTTCAGAACTTGAATAAGTCAGTGTGAAAATTTAAAGAGCTTTATAGAATACGCAGGATGTTCATTCTCATGAGAGGCCTATTGTTAATAGTGAATGGGGTATTTTACTACAGAGAACCATTTGAGAGGGAAACTGTTAAAATTGTATTTTTACTGTATTTTCCAAGAGACAGTGTGTGTTGTTATGGTCTCCTAACCTCCACTGACTACTATATAAGTGATATTCCTTTAAAGCATTGTAAATTTGAAGAAGAATTTCAAAAATTAAGTAATGACTGACCTGTTTTTGTTTTATTCTATAAATCCTGACTCTCCTTTGTGCTGCCGTCTATTTAGGTTTGGTTATATAGTCTTTAGGTTAAATTTGATCTGTGTAGATAAGTGTTAAATTTAAATTTACATTTAGAGCATTCTACAATAGGAAAGGCTTTTATTGTTCTGGGAGCCTCAGTTCATTAAAACTCTTCTTTTAAAACCAGTATCACAAAACAACAACAACAACAACAACAAAACAAAAAACTGTGTTTAAAGTTAAGCAAGACTAATGGGGGAAAAATAAGAACTAAGATACATCATGTTCAGGTACAAACACCCAATGATAAATGTAAATGTATTGTATACCTAAAATGTACCAATTAATATATAAATGAAAAAAAAGTTAAGCAAGACTTTTTTTTCCCTTTCCATGAGTTGTAAAATTTAAAGCTTGAAACTAATGTGGTTAATAAATTTAGTAAGAATTATTTACAAATGTTGCTGTTCAGGTTCTTAAAATCACTCAGCACTCCCAACTTTCAATCAAATTTTTTGGTACCAGAGTTTCCCTGCCTGCACACTACAAAAAACAAAACAAAACATAAAACCCCACTGGATCCTTTCCACCTAATTGTGCAAAAATTGATCACTTGCAAGTCAAAATATAACCAGATCCAAATCTCTACCCTCCCAGTAGTTCTCAGTGTCTGCATGTGAACCTTTCTTTTCTGTCCATGGCTGGCTGGGACCAAGGCAGAAAACCAGGATGGAAGGAAGAGCATGGTAGTGGAAAGCTGGTCGAGGCAGACAGGAAGCAGGGAGCAGAGGAAAAGCCAGATTGAAAGGAAGGGGCCAGGGATGATGCATAACTTTCAAAGCCCTGTCTGCAGTGACATGCTTCCTCCACATGGACCCAGTCTCCTAATGAACCCACACAGAAATGAACCCATCAGTGGCTTAATCCATTCAATGAGGTTGGAACCACCCAAAGGATGGATGAACACGGTCAGTGTGAGCTGTCTGCACATAGGGAAATGTCACTGTGAACCCCATTAACATGTACATTCAATATATGAAAATAAAAATACATTTAAAAGAATGGAAAATACTTAAGATGTTGGTACAGGCAATGGTTTTCTGGGTAGGACCATAAAGCACTGGAAATAAAAACAAAATTGACAAATGTGATTATATCACAGTAAATATCTTCTGAACGCCAAAGAAAACAATCAACATAGAGAAGGCACAATCTATAAAATGGGAGAAAATACTTGGCAATTATCCACATGACTAAAGATTAATATCTGTAATACATAAACAACTCAAAGAACTTACTACCAATAAAATAAGTAATTCAATTAAAGTGGGAAAATGGTATAAAGACTCTTCTCAAAATAAGAAATACAATGGCCAGCAAATACATATATGAAAAAATGCTCAATATCATTAGCCATCAAGGAAATGCAAATAAACACTACAATGAGACATCATCTAACTCCAGTATAAATTCTACAAATAAATCCTTTAAATCAGCACTATTCTTCTCAGCTACTTTTATGGGTGGACCCTAAACGTCTCCCAAAATCTCATGTGTTGAAGGCTTGGTTCCCAAAGCAGCAGTGTTCAGGATTGGGGTCTTTGGGTGTTGATTGGACTATGAAGTCTTGCCTTGCCATTGGACTAACCCATTGATGGAGTCGCAACTAAATGGTGCACTGGGAGGTGATAGAACTTTAGGAGGTGGGATGTAGCTGGAGGAAGTAATTGTGGTTGTGCCTGTGAAGGGTACATTTTGTCTCTGGCTCCTTCCTCTCTCTTTATTGGTTGCTATGAGGTGAGCAGCTTTCTCCACCACTCATTCCCACCACTATGATGTTCTTCCTAACCACAAACCAGGAACACAGAGCCAAGTGACCAGGGACTGAAACCTCTGAAACTGTGAGCCAATAAATCTTTCCTCCTTTAAGTTGTTCATCTCAGGTATTATGTCACAGCAACACAAAGCTGGCCATATCTCTGCTGGGAGATTCTGGAATTTTAATTGGCTATTAAAAATTTTTTAAATAGGAACAGTCTTTATGCTAAAATAATCAACAGACTCAAGAAACATGGAATGATTAAACTGTCATTTATAGTTTAGTCTAATAAGTATAAAAGTTAATTGATTACCAAACATAAACCCTTACTATTTAGAACAGTGTCAGTTTACTGCATCAATACAAAGTGCAAAATTCTATTTGAAAGATATACTTAACTGTATCTTCATTGTTAGGTGTTTGTGTGAACATATCCACTGGTTTTTCTGCCATCCCAGACTGAAAGAGCTGAAACAAAGATACAAAATCTTTTTTCAAATTTACTTAGACAATTACATTCCCAACATGTAACATATCAAGATAAGACTTTAATAGACTTTATCAAAATTTTAGCTATTCATTACCACTCTTGGCCTGTTTTAAGCTGTACTTGCATTCCTACACAGCCTTCTACATAAAAAATAATATGTAATAGCCAACATATAGAGTGATACACTCAACTGTAAGCACACAAAAAACATCCTAAGGAAGATAAACTCCCTTTTGAAACCACAAGGACAAAGATCATCCTTTTTTTCTCACCAAAACAATTTTTATTTCCAGTGTTTAACTGGGTATGCACACAGACATGACACAGGTTTGGATTCATTAAGTCCCCTATTCTTCTTTTGAAAGGACTCTCTGGTCATTAGAAAGGGAAATAGAGAATTTTGCTTTAAAATGAGATAAAACAAGGATGAAGACATTCATAATTACTTAATTTTCTAGGCTAATTATCCAGGCAAGACAGGAATATTAGAGTACAATCTTTGAAGGAGAATTGGGAAAATAGAGCTCATAAAATCAAGGGCCGGGGATTTAGCTCAGTGGTTCCGGTGCCTGCCTCACACGCGCAAGGTCCTGAGTTTGATCCCCAGTACCAAAAAAAAATCCAAACAAGTCCCTTAGGAAGTAAACTGAAATAGAATTCTAGTGTATGAGGACCCTCTTGAGTAATTATATACTTACCTCATTTGCACTTAAAGTAGACCTGACAAATACATATTTTCATTGCCATATAACAAATGAAAAAACCAGACTCAGAAAGATTAAGTAACGTACGTGTCCAGAGTTCCAGCTACACAGTAGACACAGGGCTGAGGGCTCCAAAGCTTGTCTTCTTCCTCCTGCCCACAGACCTGGATTAAATTACTGTTCACAGTGTTTGCAACAGTTGGGTACTAGGGAGGAGAGGCCGGAAGAGCACCCTGTGCTGATTTCTAACCACGACTGCCTGAGAAGGTCACACTACGCTACTTTTGAGCACAGCACAAAGATACTAAGAAGCTGAGGTACATTTTTAGAGGAAACATTATGTACAAGTAAACCAAAATGAAAAGCAAACTGGCTTTGTTCCGTGGTCCCTTCACCTGATCTGTCATGAAAATTATCCCACTTTAGTACATAACTTTATCTCATTTTTCCTTGAAGTCATTGGGATACTCTGAGATAGTATTCTGTTCTACTGCGTGGCTCACTCTATTCTAGGATATATGAAATTTCTGTATTTATCTAGCAGAAATTTAATGTTGGGCATTGCAATGATTTCCAGTCCTTTACTGTAATCAACAATGAGCATTTAAACTCTGTAAGAGAGGCTGCTTCTCAGCTTCCTCAGTTTATCTTCTCTGATAGTTGGTAGTAACTACAAACTTAAGGATCTCTATTCTCTGTTTAACTGATGGTGTGTGTTTTTTGTTTTTTTTTTTTGGCAAGCCTGCTAAAGATTGAAAACTAGAGATACAAAATAGCTTGCATTCAAAAGCCTAATCTGGGTACAAGCACCCAATGATAAATGTATACCTAAAATATACCAATAAAAATAATTTTTTAAAAAAAGCCTAATCTGTTAAAAAGCAAAGGTATAGGGGCTGGGGATTTAGCTCAGTGGTTCCGCTGCCTGCCTCAAAAGCACAAGGACCAGAGTTTGATCCCTAGTACCAATAAATAAATAAATAAAAGTGGTTCTGCTGCTTGTCTCGCAAGCGCAAGGTCCCGAGTTCAATCCCCAGTACCAATAAATGAATAAATAAATAAGTAAATAAATAAATAAATAAGTAACAGGGCCGGGGATTTAGCTCAGTGATTCTGTCACTTGTCTCGCAAGTGCAAAGTCCCGAGTTCGATCCCTGGTACCAAAAAAATAAATAAATAAACAGAGGTGTCTTTTTCTCACATAAGTCTAGATCCTGAGCTCTCAAAGTACAGTCCTTGGCCCCCTGGTGTCCCCAAGATTCTTTCAGGAAACCCATGAGGTCAACACCTTCAATCTAATATGAGGGTGTGATTTGCCTTTTCCACTGTGCTAAGATTTACACTGATGGATCAGGGGCAGCCATCATCAGCATAGGGCACAAAGTGCATTGGTCTTTGCATTATTCACCATCACACTCGCAAAAGATGTAAGAAAAGTATCTACAGCGCTCTTATATATTGTACACAAGTGTAAGAGTTCTTGAGGAAAGCAGGTACTCTGATAGATTAACTCATGCAAAATAGTAACTCCTTTTTCTTGGATCATTTTTTATTGCAAGAGCAATGGACAAACACTGGTTATTCAGGCTTGGGTATTTCTAATACAGTTTCTTTTCTTTCTTTTTTTGGTACCGGGGATCGAACTCAGGACCTTGTGCTTTCGAGGCAGGCGCAGTGCCACTGAGCTAAATCCTCTGCCCTCTAATACAGTTTCTTGAAAATGAAGTGAAGTTTATAACATCAAGAAAAAGAACTGGATGCAAGATGGTAGGATCCAACACTTACCTCCTCCTCCACAAAGAATATGAAAGTAGTCAGGTGTGGTGGTGGACGCCTGTAATCCCAGCACTCTGGGAGGCTGAGGCAGGAGGATGGCAAGTTTGGGCCAGCTTGGGGAATTTAGTGTCTTACCAAGACCCTGTCTCAAAATTTAAAAAAAATTAAAAGGGCTGGGGGTGTAGCTCAGTGCACAGGTCCTGGGTTCAATCTCCAGTGCTGCAAACAAAGAAGGAAGGAAGGAAGGAAGGAAGGAAGGAAGGAAGGGCAGGAGGGAAAAGACAGGGGAAAAGAAAAAAGAAAAAGAGAGGAGAGGCGAGGAAAGAACAGAAAGAAACAAATGCATAGCTGCATTTTGAGGTGAATGACCATGAGAGAACTTTGGAAATCAGCAAGAGAGATTAAAAACTTAAAAGATTCTAAGATGTGCCAAACAGCATAGAAACAAAATACCCTGCCACCTGCCCTCTGAGACTCCACGTGGGGGAGGGGACTCCCCTCTGCCAGGGGAGAGATGAAGGTGAAACCTCCATTGTCCCCACAGAAGGGCCATTCGATTCCCACCCTGCCGCTCCCTGGGCCTGCAGCATGGATGAGTAGGGCAAAAGCTGCAGCCCTTGGGAGCAGAACAGCTGGTGACAACAGGGCCTGAGGGAGCCGCGACCCAGACAGGGTCCAGCACTCCTGCTGCAGCAGTAGCCACAGAGTGAGCACCAGACACCAACCACTGGACGCTGCCTGCAGTGTCCTCACTTTTCACGGCCCACAGACACAGTGGGTTTCTGGATTCCACCACAGAATGAATACGCTATGTCCAAGGTCATTAGCTACAGCTGAAGAAGCTCTATGGAGACTACCCACAATGCCCAGCTGGAAATCAAGCCAACACTGCATAAGGATTTAAAGAATACTGACAAGATATATGAACAAAAATTACAGACAAAAATGCAGTGTGGAGGACCATAACATCAAGGTATTTATGGGTGCTCAAACTTGCAAAAGAACTTTTGTACTGGGTAAATTTCGTTCACAATCAATATATGTTTTCTGTTCAATCAGTAAAAAATAATCTTTTGCATTTGGGAAACCTGCAACTTAGTACTCTTGAAATCCCAGAGGGAGACTGATAGCACACGACATGGAACATTCTAGAAGTGACCCTTTCCCTCAGTGAGAACCAGATGCCCATGTGCCCACTTCTCACCTAGGGGAGCTCCCACAGGGTGGCCTTCTCCTCTGGTCCACAGCTCTTCCTGCTCCAGCTGAGTGATCACTGCTGGCTTATAAACCTGATGCCCTGTTCATGGGAAAATGTACATCTCAGCATTTTATACCAGGAGCAGAATTCTCCCTCAGAGCCCATTTCCACCCTTTTCAGTCCTTGGGGCCTCTGGGTTTGGACAGCAGAGGCTTCAGAGGCAGCAAGAGAAAGCTCCTCATGTCAAACTGCACAAAGTTAGGATCTTTCACCTGGGGGAGAGAGCAGGGAACAAGGCTCTGTCTCCATAGTGATGAGCTTTCTCCTACTAGGGGCTACACCACATCCCCAGAGCACTGAGACTCTCCTGCTGAGGGAAGTAAGGCCTGTGAGTGGCCCCCAGTCCCACAGGACTCTCCTCACCCAGGGCAACCAGATTCCTGTAGTTCTCCAGCATCACGTCTCGGTAGAGGTTCTTCTGAGCAGGGTACAGCTGTTCCCACTCCTCCTTGGTGAAGTCCACAGCCACATCCTGGAATGTCAGGGATTCCTGAAACCAAGCACATTGGAGCTCACACAGAAACTGTTCTGAAAGGGGCCTCAGGAGAGGGAGGGAAAGAGCAGCATTAGGAAAAAGTTAGGATGTCTGAACCACTGTGCTGACAGTCTTCAGGATTCGGAGTAATCCAGAGTCCAGATCAAAGCTTTTAAAATAGCTTGGTGTGGTGGGACATGTCTGTAATTCCAGCAATTGAGAGGCTGAGGCAGGATGATAGTCGTAAGTTCTGTGTCAACTTGGGCTACATAGTGAGTTTAAGGCCAGCCTGAACTACATAGCCAGAGACCCTGTCTCAACAAACAAACAAACCCTTGTTCTTGTAGAGCTGAGATGTAGGGACTCCTAAACATGGCTATTACTCTTTTTTCTCCTCTAAAGGATCAGTCATCTATGCAGCAAATTTGGTAGGAGACTCAAATCTGTCCCTCGGCAGGGATCTTGTGAGATACAATTTCAGGTTGAGCACCTGTAATAAGATTCACCGGAGTCGGCAGAAGTCTCAGTCACCTAAGGACCGATGAGAAGGACAAACCATTCATAAAGATAAGGCACATTAATTTGTGACAATGTTTAAAGTAATCAGAGTACTGTTAGAATATCTGATTCCCACATGACAGAAAGCAGAAATCAACAGATGAATCAACTACAACAAATTCTTTTCATCCCTTCCCTTCCTCTTGTCAGAACAGAAAGTGGCCCTTGCTGAGCTGAAAGATCTTTCACAAAGAGTGGGGTCTTTTTCCTTAGAAAGAGGGAAAGACAGGCATTTCAACAACTATGACAGAGTGAAATGTCCCGATTTGCAAATAACCATAAAAGAACAGGGCTTTTTTGTTCACAAAAGTTGTCCTGGAAAACTGCTCTCAGAAAGTGAGTGACAGAAATAAAGAAAGGAGCAATTCTGAGTAGGTACTCCATAAATACTTGCCAAATGAGTAATAAAATAGTGGCCAGTGATTTAGCTCAGTGGTTTCACTGCCTGCTATCCAAGTGCAAGGACCCGAGTTCGATCCCCAATACAAAAAAAAAAAAAGGGTAATGGTGTTTAGAATATTTCATACACTAGCATTAGTTCATGAAGATAAAAAGTAAAAATAAGGCTGCAACCAAAGCAAGTTTTATTAGCTCTTGGTGAGGCAAGATATACCACGGATACTGTTCAGGTGTTTACTTAGGAGATAAGACAAATCTCAAAGTGACTAAAGAACTAGTTTTCATGAATTGTCTGTTTAGAGCCACTTTATACCGCATGATCCTACTCATATGTGGAATCTAAAAGAGTTGATGTTATAGAAGTTGAATGTAGAATGGTGGTTACCAGAGGCCAGGGAGAGTATGGCTGGGGTGGGATGGGGAAGGTTGTGTATTAGTTAACTTTCCTTTGTGAGAAAGTTGACATTCACAATTTAAAGGAGGAAATGTTTATTTTGGCTCATGGTTTCAGAGGTTTCAGTCCATGGTTGACTTCAAGGCAGAAACATCATGGGAGAAGGACATGGCAGAAGAAGAGGATAGCTGCCCAGAGGAAGAGGAAGGGGTCAGGGACTAGTTCCCAAGGTCACACCGCCATGACCTGGTTTTTCCAATTAGGCCTCACCTCCTAGTAGCCCTTCAACTATGAGCTCATTGCTGAAACTGTGCCCTCCTGATCCCATGGCCTCTCCAGATGCCTTTTAATCTGTTCAAGTTGACAGTCAAGATTACCCTTCAGAGGCTGCTCAGTGAATATTATGTCACAGTTCAGCAGGAGCAAGTTGTGGTGTGCGATTGCACATTGAAGTCATTATAGATAATAATAATGTACTACATACTTCAAAAAGCTAGAAGAGAGGATTTTGAAAGTTTTCACCATTAAGAATGACAAATGGGCCAGGGATTTAGCTCAGTGGTTCTGCCACCTTCCTCGAAAGCAGAAGGACCCAAGTTCGATCTCTGGTACACACACAAAAAAAGAATAACAAATGTTTGAAGAGATATGTTTAACCTGATTTAAATATTATGTAATGTTACATATAACACAACATGACATTATAGGCCACAAATAGGTACTATTTTGTTTTCATGTATCAGTCAAAGAATAAATTTTAAAACATGTTAAAAATATATATTTTTAATCCAGGGAAGATATTAAATTGTTTTCAAAATGTTTAGAGGCTTCAATCCCCAGTACAAAAAAAAAAAAATGTTTAGAGCCACTTTCAACCATGTAGGAAACACAGAGTGGCTTTGGAAACTACCTTTTGCTACAGAATTGATAATGTTTCCCAATTAATTCAACCTAAAGTCACAAAGCAAAACAGCATTTGTAACATATACCACAATAAAGTTATTTCAATTGTGCTATAGTTTAGATCTAAAATGCCCCCGGCTAAAAGTCTCACATTCCAAGGTGGGGCCTGGTTGGAAAGGGCAGGATTACTGGGTTGTGACCTGGAAGGGTGTACTGTATTCTTATCCTGGCTCCTCCTTTTTCTCTCTGCTTCCTGGTGCCACACAGTGAACAGCTGTCCTCCACTCAGGCTCTTCCCCATGCCCTTCCCGCCCTGGAGCCCCTGACCATGAACTGAACCCACTAAAACTGTAAACCAAAATAAACCTCTCCTTGAAGTTGTGATGTTGGGTATTTTGTCCCAATGAAGGTAAACTGACTAAGACAAATGTAACTACTATTTTTGAATCTCAGGTAATGTCAAACTGCTTTATGTATTTTCAGTGCTGTCAAAATATAAAACAAGACATGAGACTCCTGTCCCCATGCAAAATTTGCAGCAGCTGTATCTTCTAAGCTCAAATTATAGTTCTGGTAGCATCTTTGGGTCTCTAAGCCATGGCAAAGGGGAAAATCCATTTAACCAGGCAATTCAGGGAGTTTGATTATCTGCCATTTAATCACATGCCAAAAGTTGTTAACCAAAGAGATGAAAATAACAGAATTCTACAAACACTGTTCAAGCAATGAATAAGCCTAAATTCAACCATATGCTGATGGATGATAGCAGTATTTGGAGAAAGTTCCTAAATATGAAATATGTAAACTCTCAATATAACAAGCTTCAATAGGTGAGCCATTCTTTGCGATTGATTTTGGTGATAAGGAACACTAATTTTTTTTTTCTTGGTACGTGGGAGATACCAAAACTCAGGACCTTGCGCTTGCGAGGCCGGTGTGGTAACCACTGAGCTAAATCCCCGACCCAGGAACACTAATTTTGAGCCCTAATTAAGTGAAATGTTATTCCCATGGAGAGTTCCGTTTTCTCCTCATCAGTAGATCTGTAACAATGCTCTCTATGGATGGATGGATGGACGGACGGACGGACGGACGGACGGACGGATGGATGGATGGTACTGGGGATTTGCACTGAGCTACATCCTCAGGCCTTTATTATTTTTTTTAATTTTGAGACAGGATCTCACTAAGTTGCCCAGACTGGGGTCGAATTTGCGATTTCCCTACCTCAGCCTCCCAGAGTGCTAGGATTACAAGCCCATCTTATTATATTTTGAGTTTTGCCGATACAAAATGGGGAGGGGACCGCGGAGGTCGGTCCTGGAAAAAGGGACACCGAGGCACGAGCGTCGCGCGCGGACAGACCAGCGATGCCCCGGCGCCTCCGCCTCTGCACTAGGGTGGGGGCTGGGCGAGGCGGGCGCGGGGCGCGCGACCCCCAACGGCCAGACGCCGGCGCATGCGCTCTCGGGCGCAGCGCGGGCGCCATTGGGGAGGCGGCGGCCGGGTCCCCGGGTCGGCGGACGCAGAGGCGGTGAGTGAGTGTGCCTAGTCCTCGTCCCCGCACCCTTCCCGCTCGCCTGCGCCTGGCTTTAACCTGTTAACCATTTGTGGCCCCGACGCAGGACATCGTAGCTTCTCCGCCTCTGCTGCGGGGACCCCGAGCCACGTCGTGCACACGGAGCTCAGACACACGATGTTACGTGTTTGAAGTCAGTGTCAGACACAGCTTAGTAAGACCGAGTGGACTCTGAGCCTTGTGTCCCTGGTGATATCCGAGTAGGACAGAAGCATTTCCTCATGCGCTGCTGCGCTGCGTTATAATTTACTAGAGAACCTTGCTCTTTGGTGCACAAAATATATTGTCACCCGTAACTATCACAGTGACATATTTTCATCTTGCTCCACTGACAAAACAACACTGGGACGAGGAGCGAATTCCGAGGCCGGGCCCAGGCTCCTCTATGTGACCTGTGCCCCAGCATTTCCACTCTGTTACACACGTCCTGTGCCATCTAATGCTTTAAATCTTCTCCTAAGAAGTGTCAACCTTGTGAAAAACAGAAAGCTTGAAAAACTTACAGATTAGAGGTCACTAAGGAGAGCTAACTTAATGCAGGATCCTAGATTGCAGAAAGAACGAAGTGAATAAGCAGGTGAAATGTGAGTAACTTCCATAAAAATGTTATCCTTAGCATAAGCAGGATGAATCCAGGGTGAATTCTGTGTGTACTACTTTTGCAGCTTTCCTGCAAATCTAAAATTGGTTCAAAACAAAAAAGTCTTATTAAAGTAGAAAAGTAAGCACCAGAACCCTTTCATTTACTTCCTTAGCAAATATTTATTGAGTACCTACTACCTGCCAGCCGTGGGTCTTTAAAAATGGAGTATAGGGACAGGGATTTAGCACAGTGGTTCCGTCACCTGCCTCGAAAGCCCAAGGCCCCGAGTTCAATCCCCGGTACCAAAAAAAAAAAAAAAAAAAAATGGAGTGTACAAGGAAACGGCTGGGTTCCCGCCTTCATGGATGGTGAGGTTTAAAGATGGATTCCTGGATGGATAGTTGAATAATAAGAAGTGCAGGGCCAGGGATTTGGGTCAGTGGTTCCGGCACCTGCCTTGTAAGCTCAAGGCCCCAAGTTCGATCCCCGGTACCAAAAAAAAAAAAAGAAGTGCTACCTGAATAAGAAAGGTTTAAATGAGGGCTCTCACCTGGTCTATGATATCAGAATCTCTCTTATCTCTCTTGATTTAAGCTGAAACCTGGAAAAGAAAAGAAAAAAAGAGTAGGTATTTTCAAAGTAAATATATTTGGAAAACATTGCATACAATATACAACATACATTACTTGATATGCTCCCCTATGCCCTGCGGTTTTTCTAGGATTCACAATTTCCATAGGGAAATCTCTTAGAGGATTTGTAGCAAAGAAATTTAACTTTGTTGTGGCCAGAATCTCCCCAATTTGATTTGGTTCCTTTTTGAGCAGACAGTAAGATGCTATTAGCACATTTTGGGCAAACCTCCCTGCTCGGTCATGTGGAGTCCTTTTCAGTTCATACACTTGAAGGACAGCCCTGCTTTGCGTAACTTCCTACATGTAGTATTACTATTGTTGTGAGGCACTTGACTTTGAGGTGATGGGCTGTGAAACTTAAGGGTATTTTCATTAACTTCTGTCTGGCTCTGCTGACAGTGGGTGGGTCTTTTTCAGAGCTAAGGGTGGTGAAGTAAGAACCTAGTTCTAAAATGCTTTTAAATGTCATGTCCTGGGCAGGAAAAGCCTTTCTTATCTAATAGGACCAGTTATACTAGAATTGTAGCTTTCTCTCTTTTAAAAAAGATGCTTATCAGAAATGGCTTCTTTGGGCTGGGGATTTAGCTCAGTGGTACAGCTGCCTGCCTCAAAAGCAGAAGGACCCGAGTTTGATCCCTGGTACCAAAAAAAAGAAATGGGTTCTTTATTTCCAGCACTAGTTTTTTGAGAGCAATTTTTCAGCACAACCTTTGTGGATAGAAAAAGAATATATTTTTCATGGTTACTAGCAAATCTGTTGTGGTTGTTGAAATGCCAGTTTTTCCTTCTATCTAAGGGAGACCAAAGCCACTCTTTGTGAAAAATCTTCCAGCTAGGCAAGGACCACTGTGTTTTCTATTCTGGGAATAGGAAGGGGAATCTCCTATAGTTGATACATCCGTACAGCTCTGCTTTTTGTAATGTGGAAATTGAAAATTCGAAAAGTGCTTTTTGATTATTTTAAAGATTATCACACCTTTCTGTGCTCTATCTTTCTGAGTGAATGGTTTGTCCTTCTCTTCACAGACTCCTTAGGTCGTGAGTGACCAAGACTTGGGAATTTCTTCTGCCAACTCTGGTGAATCTCATTACAGGTATTCAACTGAAAATTGTATCTCACGAGATCCCTGACAGGAGACAAATTTGAGTCTCAGAGAAAAAAGTCTCTAGATAAATGACTGGGAGCAGGAGCCACATTCAGACTGGAAAACCAGCTCTCAAGGACCGGCCGCGACACTGAGGCTGCCAGTACTGCTGCACCTCCAACTGAGCCACTGTGCTGGAGGAGAACAAAACGTCGGTGACTGCCACACAGGAATTGCAGAGGTGTAGCCGTTCTGCTGGGGCCTGAATGCAGGTACCCAAAGGTAAGGTGAATATTCTGAGAAATGAGAGCACCATCTCCTTTGTGTCTTCATTCAGAGGTTCCCTTGGCAGGAGAGGAGGGCCAGATCTCTGGGCTCTTAAGTTTCAGCCTAAATTCACCCCCTGTGGGGATAAAGTAGAAGAATAACAGCTTGTCAGAATATGTTCTCTACATAACCTCGCCTTAGAATCGCTTGGAGACTTCAGAATTAAAATGCTGTACCCAGGTTACTGTGGACCAATTCAACCCAAGCCTTTAGGCTGGGCATTGGCGTCCTTTTTAATTTCCCTAGTGCATAGCCAGGGCTGCAAACCACTGAGCCTCCCGTGTGCTGTGACATTGAACTTGTACCACAGAGTAGGGAAGGTCCTGCATTGAATCTCTGAGTGAGATAGGGTCACAAAGATGTCACAGTTGAGTTGTCAGCCTTTTAAGTTTATATCTTCAAGGCCTTTATAAACTGGCCGCCTCACCAACACAAAGCCAAAGCGCCAAAATTTTAACCTAGTCTTAATACCGTGTATTTTTTCCTCTTTTAAGTAGTTTGTTTCAAGTATTTCTAGTGACAAAAAACTGTTAGTCGTCTGACGATAGCTCACATAAGGTACAGAAGTAAAATGGCCCATGTGCAGTGGTACCTCAGTTCACAAACTTAATTCTTTCCACGATTTTGGTTGCAAATCAATCAAATTCAGTGGTTAGGTTCATTGTTGACCTTACGGGAATATTTGATTCAGTTTTTGACTAATTTAGTTTGTGACCAAAATCATGGAAGGAATTAAATTCATGAACCAAGGGACTACTGTTTCCATTTGGCTGTTTTGTCCCCAGTCTTCATTTCTAGATAAGCCTGAGAGCTTCGAAGGAATCCAGTAATCTTCTCCAGGGAAAATGCTGTTTTATTTCTTTCCAGTATGCTTGAGGCACATTTAAATGTGTATATGTTCTGCATTCCACATACTGAACTGTCATCTGCTTTTACTTGTAACATATGGTAAACCAACCTCCACCAATTATCTGATGCTTTGTAATGCCTGCATGGTCTTCTGGTACATGGATAGAGCCTAGTTTATTGTAAAACTTTTTATTGGTGAACTTTTAGGTCATTCCAAATGTTACTAATTTGGAACAGTGTTTTTTTTGAACCTCATAGTGGTGTGTGCCTTTGCATATTTTGTCTTATTTCCATAGGATACATTCAAGATGTGAAGTTTTGAGATTGTGTACATTTAGATTGTTAAGGTACATTCCAATATCAACATCCAGGAAACTTATGCAGTTTACAGTTAGGATAGGAGGATTCCATTTCCTTACACCTTCACCAGCATGGAAATCTATAGCTTTTTTAAACTTTATAAGAATAATAGGGAGAAATGACGTTTTATTGCTTTGAGTGTTATATTCCAGCTAACTTTTTCATTGTAAAAATTTAGCATTTTAAAAGTCAATATCTGGGGCCAGGGATTTAGTTCAGTGGTTCCGGCGCCTGCCTCACAAGTGTAAGGTCCCGAGTTCGATGCCCAGTACTGAAAAAAAAAAAAAAGTCAATATCTAATTAGTTAACAAGAAAAATAGGGTTGGAGGAGGTTTTTCCAAAATATACCTATTTTCCTCATTGTTTGGAGGGAATGTTAAACATTACTTTTTCACTTTTGTTCCTTTTTAGGAACCATCTGTGTTTGCCCATGTTCTTCCTGTAATGTTGTGACCTAAGGTACTGATTCTTTTTTATTTTACCATGATTATGTTTTTTAATAGAGTGTAATTGACAAATAAAATCATATATATCTAAAGTGCATAGGATTATGTTTTGAGATATATATATCTTGTGAAATGATTACTGCAATCAAGCTAACATCTAGTGGTTCACATGAAGAAATTTTTAATTTCTTCCACTTAGGAACATTTTATAATAGCACAGATCAAAAAATGCTCGTAAAAAAAGAAGAACTTGCTCACCAACTCATTCCTAGAGACAGATTGAGAGTTAAGTGAATGCCATATGGATGATTTCTTTCTTTCTTTTTTTTTTTTTGGTACTGGGGATCAAACTCAGGACCTTGTGCTTGCGAGGCAGACAAGGCACCACTGAGCTAAATCCCCGCCCTCATATGGCTGATTTCTTGATCTCTCTATACATTAATGCATTTTTTAAAACAAAAAAATGGGCATTGCCATATATATTGTTTTGTAAGTTGCTGTTTTCACTTACTAGAATGTAGAAGAAACCTTTTCAATAAATTCATGTCAATATCACAATCTCTTAATAACATAATGCATAACTCTTTTTCCCACCCCCCATTACCCTCCATTATACGCTCTTCCCCATATCCCCTCTTTTCTAATAATAGTGACCCTTCTACTTTGATGTCATCTTTTTTGGAGTCTACATATTAGTGAAAAATGGCACTTGTTTCTCTGAGTCTGCCTAATTTAGCTTAACATGATGATATCCAGTGACATCTATTTTCCTGCAGGTATCATTTTGTTCTTTATTGCTGTATAATATTCCATTGTGTATATATGCCACATTTTCTTTTTCTACTCATCTTTAACCACCTAAGCTGCTTCCGTAACTTTGCCATTGTGAGTTGTGCTACAGTAAACATGAGTTTGCAGGTCTCCCAGTGGATGCTGACTTTAATTCCTTAGGATATATTCCAAGGAGTAGTACAGCTGGGTCATGTGGTAGGTCTATTTTTAGTTTTTTTAGGAACCTCGATAATGGTTCCCATAGTGGCTGTACTAATTTACACTGTCAAGAGCACTGAAGAAGGGTTGCTCTTCCCCTAGCCTCACCAGCATTTATTGTCTTTCTATTCTTTTTTTTTTTCTTGGTACTGGGGATTGAACTTGGGTCCTTGCGCTTGGGCAGCAGGCGGCGAAACCACTGAGGTAAATCCCCAGCCCTGTCTTTCTGTTCTTGATAGTAACCATCTTGACTGGGGTGAGATGGAATCTCAGTATAGTTTTGATTTGCATTTCTCCAGTGACTAAAGATTATGAACATTTTTAATATATATATTGGCTATGTCTACTTCTCTTTTTAAAAAGTGTCTGTTCAATTTATTTGCCTGTTCAAAGTTCTAGGTCTTATGTTTAGGTCTTTGATCCATTTTGAATTGATTTTTGTACAGAGTGAAAGACAGGGATCTACTTTCAGTCTTCTCCATACAGATGTCCAGTTTTCCCAGCACCTTTTGTTAAAAAGGCTGATTTTCTCCATTTTGTGTTTTTAGTTCTGTTGTCAAGAATTAGATGGCTGTGGTTGTGGGGGTGGCCACTCCTGCATCCTGTATTCTGTTCCATTGGCCTGCATGTCTGTTTCTGTGCCAGTACCATGCTGTTTTTGTTACTATGGCTTTATAGTATAATTTGAAATCTGGTATTGTGATGCCTGCAGCCTTGCTCTTTTTCCTTAGGATTGGTTTGGCTACTCTGGGTCTTTTGTGTTTCCATGTGAATTTTAAGATTTTTCTTTTTCTATTGTGAAGAATGTCACTGATATTTTCTTTTTTTCTTTCTTTTTTTTTTTTTTTACGGTACTGGGGATTGAACTCAGACCTTGTGCTTGCGAGACAGGTATGGTGCCACTGAGGTAAATCCCCAGCCCTGTCACTGATATTTTCATGAGGATTTGTCAAATCCACCACTTCTGGTAAAATGACCATATTGACAGTATGGATTCTGCCAATCCATGAACATAGGAAGTTTTTCCATCTTCCAGTGTCTTGTTTAATTTCTTTCTTCCATGTTCTGAAATTCCCATTACACAGGTCTTTCATCTCCTTAGTTAGGTTGATCCCTCTTTAAAGCTGTTATTAATGGAATTGTTTTCCTATTTTCTTTCTCAGCTAGTTCATTATTCATATGTAGAAAATCTATTGATTTTTTACTGTTGATTTTTTGTCCTGAATATCATATATGAGCAGGATCCCTCTTTTTTCTTTTTCCCAGTTATGCCTTCTCAGAATGTGGTTCTTTCCTGGGAAGGGAACATGAAGGGGAGAGAAATGGATGATGGATCACAGAGAGTCAGGTCTCAGGTAAGTTCAGTTTTGCTCTCCTCCATAGTTCTGCTACCATCGTTCTCAGGATGTTGTTACTTTTTTTTTTTTTCCATAGCGGGGATTGAACTCGGGACCTTGCACTTGTGAGGCAGGCGTAGTGCCACTGAGCTAAATTCCCAGCCCTTGGCACTTTTATTTTTCAGTTGAGTGCCTGAGTTCCTACTATCCACCACCCAAGGAGACACTTATGACAGATAGTGTAATCTCTCTGATGTTTCCTGCTCTCTTGATATACCTTTTAGTTCTCCTCTCTAGACTCACGTTCATGGATTCCTATCTATTCTAGATGTTGTGAAGCAAACAAAAGATACAATAAGAGGGTTTTTTTCCCCCTTGTTACCAGGGATTGAACTCAGGACCTTGCGCTTGCAGCAGTACAATAGACTTTTACTCACCGTTCGCTTAGACAGCTCACCAAAGATTAGCCTTGCTGTGTTGTCTATAAACATAGTGAATGGTGCTGGGTCACTTGGTCTGCTTTGAATGAATGAGATGGATCATGAAATGGGCCTGAATTATCTGCTACCTCAGGTTAACTTTATAAAGATCTGTTATATCTCCTCCCAACCTGTTTAAGCCTATTCTGATTTTATAATTTGATTAAGTATTGTGTCATTAGATGAGCTATGAGTGCTACATCTTGTTTCTATGAAAATTAGTCGAAGTCTTTGGAAAATTCAATAAATACTTTTCACTTTTTAAAAGATTCTTACCAAATTAGGTATGAGCAAAATCATAAAACATTGAAGAAAAATCATAAAAATCTCAGAGGATTCCACACATGTATTATTTTCCAAGCATCATTTGTTTTTTCTAGTTTAGTGAAACAGAAACAGATGGATTATGAATATGTACATCCAGTCATCAAAATCTCTCTCATGGAAAAGGCTTAGCTTCATTTCAAAAGAGAAAAGAAATATAAATTTATGTTTTAAATTAAAAGAAAGTTTTATTTATCTTTTGTGAATTCCCCACTTTAACCAATTTTTTTGCTTTACATACCAGATTCCGGTCTCAGTTGCTTCAGAGAAGACCTTTTATTGTTACCAATATAACCATTGTCCTTAGCCAGTCAGCTGTGGAAGGGATTCCTTAACGTCCACACGACACAAGTAATATTTAAAAATGTGAAAAAAAATGTGTAATGTTAGGTGCTGTTATGAATGCAAATGACAACACATACAGGTGTTCAGAGAAGGAAGAAATCTAAGTCCATGGAGATTATTAAGCAGAACTTCGTGAACTAGGTAGAGTTTGTACTGATAGCACAGGCAGGGTGTGGAGATTAGAAAACTGGGACTGCTGGAGACAGGAAATAAAACACAAGCAAGAGAGGAACAATGATGAGATTATCAGCTAGGGCTGAGCACTTACTTAGTATCTTAGTGCTTGGAGGTCTTTGCATTTCAAGAAATAGATTCATCTAGTTTGTTCTGAATTAATTTGAGGCCTTACCACAGACAGGAATAGAAAGACAGCTTAGAACTAGATGGCATGTCTGCTTCTCGGCACTCTAGCAGATGAGTGTTTTCATTTTCCAGAACTGTTCATCGTATTAAGGAGGTTGATGCATTGATTATTTTATTGAACAGCTAATATGTGCCAAAAATTGTGCTTGGCATCAGGTATACATCAGTGATAAAATACACATGGTCCTAACCCCATGGAGCTTACTGACAGACATGCCAATAAATACAAATGAGACGGTTTTATACAAATTAAGAATAAGGTGCTATGACTGCATGTTAGGGATTGGAGAAAAACTGGGGAAGTGAAATGTAAGGTGAGACACAAAGGGTATATAAGAATTGTAAAAAGTAAATGGGAAAGTGCATTTTAAGTACGTGCTACAAATCAGCAAAAACCGTGGGTATATTTGAAAAGTTAAAGAAAAAAGGAGATAATGACTTGGGGTGAGCCAGGAAACATGAACAGGAGCTAAAGACACAAGGTCTGTGGTCATGAGGGGGAGTTTGGGTTTCACTCTAAGTGTAGCCTTTGAGAGAAGTTAAGCTGGAAAGTAGGTGAATATGTAATGCAGTTCTACCTTTAAAACCACCCAATAGTATATAACTGAATATGTGAGAGGCAATAATTGAAGGAAGAGGGAATGAGTTAGGAAGCCATTGCATATTCTAAACAATAGAAAATATCCCAAAAGTAGAAGGAAAGTAAGTGGGTTTGATTGTCTTATTTTAGAAACAAAGGATAGTTAGAGGGGTATTGGTAAAGGAAGAAAAAAGATGATTTCAAGGTATATGACCCAGGAAATTTAAAGAAAATAGAAAGTCAGATCTTACTCCTCTGCTTAAAGTGCAAGGCTTCCATTTCACTATACATAGTCCTGCAGAATCTGGCCCTGTTACCTCCTTCTCTTCTTTACCCACTCCCTGGTCTCTCTTCCTTCTTCCTGAATACTTGGAGCACACTCTGTCTCCAGGACTTGGTGCTATTAGCTTTTCAGATTGTTTTCTCAGCTATCACCTCTGAAATGACACTTCCTGATCACTCTAAGTTTGCAACTATGCCTTTCCCTTCTCTACTTTTATCTTCTAACATACTGTATTATCCTGCTTAACTGTTGATTGTCTACTTTCCCCTCTAGAATGGGAGTGTCTTTAATAAAGCCAAGGAGCTTTTGCCTTGTTGTAGTCAGGGTTTTGTCAAGGGAATACATTAAATACAGGACACATAATTTATAGGATTATTTTATGATACCCAAAAAGATACAGAGGAGTACACGAGATTAACCACACACAAGAGGCTCAAAGAATCCCACCAAGGCCCTGGGATCCCACAGCAGTTTCCCATAAAAGTCCAGCTAAAGGCTTAGAGTCCAAGGCAATGTCCTCCACGAGTCCAGCCAGAGGCCTAGAGCCCACAGCAGTGTCTCATACTTGTGTGTATTGAGTATCTGCATGTGGAAGGCCCAAAGGCCAGTAGTGGAAGCCAGAAAACCTACACCAGTGGGATGAAGGATTTGTGACACCAGGCTGAGGAATCCACATTGGAGCCAGGAAGTCAGGCTTGCGGTGAACATCAGAGCTCCCCTGACGAAAACAGCAGCCATTCCCAGTGACAGTGCGACCCCTGCGCTCCTCCTCCTCTGAGAACAGCCAAGTTCGCACCAGGAAAACCAACCACAGCAAGGTTCTAGAAAATGAACAACACAATCTTCCCCTGCAGTTCTCTTTTTATGCCCTTGATAACAATCCTCAGGTGGATCTTCTACATCCAGACCATGCTGATTCAGCTCAGCTAGGCACCAAAGGTTGCCCATTAGTTCATCCACACACGCCTCTGTTCACTGGTCTGTTCCAAGCACCTGCTGGGCACACAGGGCACACTGAACAGGCATTTGTTGAACAGATGGAAAATTTTGCATCTGATAAGGTGGCTTTACAAACTGGTGTTGAAAAGATGGTTTATTCAACACCTGATGTTGGGATTTTTGGGACATCATCTGGACAAAGATACAGTTGGATCTATGTCTTATAGTTTACATCAGAATAGTCTTCAAATGAATCAAGATTTAAATGGGAGAAATGAAACAGTTTTGCAAGAAGAAAGGAGAATTCCTTTATAGTCTTCACTGAGGAAAGGCTTTCTAATTACAGCTGCCATAAAAGATCGGGGCCGGGGATTTAGCTCAGTGGTTCCAGTGCCTGCTTTGAAAGTACAGTGTCCCAAGTTCGATCCCCGGTACCAAAAACGAAAAGAAAAGATTGATGGGTTCAACTCCTTAAAAAACCAAAAGTATCTGTATGACAGACGAAAACTTTAAGCAAAGTAAAAAAAAAAAAGTCAAATTGAGAAAAATATTTTGCCACTCCAATTATAGGGAGCTACGATCTTTCCAATATATAAAAGTCCTCTGAATCAGCAAGAGATTAAGAATCCAATAGGAAAATTACACAACATAAAAAGAAAATTCACAGAAAAGAGTATGTGAATGTATCATAAGCACAGGATAATATTTATCTGTACTCATAACAAGAGTAAATTTAAATTAAAACTAGAAAATGCTTGATATTTTATCCCAGAGCTTGATATTTACCACTAGTATGATATTACCCACAAGTGCAATAACATACTGCCATCCTGGGAAAGCTATGGAGAAACAGGCCCTCTCTTTCACTGCTGAGTTACTATGGAGACCTATAAACAAATGAGGACATATCTGTGAAACAATGTGGAATGAATCCAGGACAGACAGTTCAATGAAAAAGCCAGTGTGAAAGAGTATATTGTGCTATTTTAAGTGTAACAAAATGGAGAAATGGAAGTATACATATACATAACTCTCCATGCCAGAGCACAAGAGACACCAGGAGGATGAACCAGAGTCTAAGGAGATTGGATACCTACAGGGCCCAAGTGTCAACCACCTGAAAAAGATAAATGGGAAGGCAGATGGGTGAGAATGATACTGCTCTAAGAAAACTTGTAGAGTCCCAACTCAAGGATCCTTTGAGCCTAAATAGTGGACTCTGGACTGAGGCTAAAAACAAAGTAATTCTACGTACTGAGCTCCAATCTGCAGGCTTCTTTTGTGTAGAGGGATGTACTGTGTTAGCAACACTGAAACCACTTTCTCTACATTCCATGATTGAGCAAATAAGGACTAGAACTAGAGGTACCAGTGGGGATTTATGGATTTTAATACATAAAGCTACAAATAGGAATGGGAATAGAGTTGTAAATGTACATACATGATTCAGTGTGTGTGTATGCACACACAAACCTGTATTTCCCAGATGTAACTGCTGAGAGCACCCAGGATTAAAGACACTCCAGGAGGAATGAGCACTCCTGCAGCCCACAGCTTGGATGCTAAACACCATTCATCATTAAAAAGAACCAGGGATCCCTGGAGAAAGCTGATTCCAGGCTTGGCCTGGAAAAGCATAAGGTGAAGCTTGAAAGAAGAACATCTTTTTCTCCCAAAAAAGTAAGGAAGTGTTCAAAGAATGACGGATGTAAAAAGGACACAAGTCAGTTTGAAGAGTCTCCTACTTGCTGAACCTATGATAATCTGTACATTAAAATGAACAGGGATAAAAGATTGTAAATTATTGAATGAAAGAAGAATCTATTAGGCTGGTGATGAACTCAGTGTAGAGCATTTCCATACCTTGTGTGAGACCATGGTTCAGTCTCTATAGCACATGGACACGTGCACACACATACAAAGTGAATAAATACTATAAATGAGAACAGAAATTTCTTCATAGAAAAGAACCAACTAATAATGTATAGAAGATGATGAAATTATAAAAATAGCATTTGGCAACCATCCTAATTAATTCAGTCAAGAATTATTAATAGATGCTGACATACTCAGGGATATGTCCATACCCATGTTTATAGCCACACATTTCATAATAGCTAAAGCTTGGAAGCAGCCTGTATGTCCAACAGATGAAGAAACTGGCGGGGGGTGGGGTTTACACAGTGGAGTACTACTCTGCCATTTGTAGGAAAATGGATTTATCCTGAGACCATAATCTTAAGTGAAATTTGTAAATCAGACACACAAGCTTAAATATCTCATGGTTTCTCTTATGTGAGAAACCAAAAATATGAATAAAGAGTAAAATTAAAAAATAGATAATAGGGGGCCTGGGATTTTTAGCTGAATGGAGCCACGCCTGCCTCACAAGCAAAAGAAAGGTCCTGAGTTCAATCCCTGGTACCGGAAAAAAAAAAAAAGATAATAGGAAACAGGGAGACAGATTTTTTGCAAAAGAGAAGAGGAGCAGGAGGGGGGATGAAAAGAGAATCAAGATGTGTATGTACATGTACCAACTCCCTATGAGGAATCCAGTCATTATGTACTGAAATGTACTAATTGAAAATAAATAAATAAATTTATTTGCATAATACATTTTAAAAGAATTATTGGTAGACGCTAAAACTAGTGGATGCAAGTTTGTGGAGGAACAAAATATTTACAGTCTTAATGTATCTTCCTACAAGATACATATTCATGACAGCATAAAATAGTAACTTTCTAGTGGAAATCGTTGATGCATGCCACCTTAACTAAACCATCAAAGAATACCTTACTCTGAAGTAGAACTCTGGAATTTATCCCTGTCTAACTGTGATCCTCGCACTTGAGCAGCCCCTCCCCGTCATATCCCTCCTACTTCCTGAGCCCCTGATAACCACTATTCCAGTCTCAACTTCTATGTGATCAACTTTTTTTTAATCGACACACATTCTTGTACATATTTATGGAGTACATATGTTGTGAGGTGTTTTTTTTTTTTGTGGTACCAGGGATCAAACTCAGGGCCTTGCGCTTGCGCAGCAGACGATGAAACCACTGAGCTAAATCCCCAGCCCTGTTGTGAGGTTTTGATATGTGTATATATTATGTAATGATCAAATCAGAGCAATTAGCATGTCCATCACACAAGTTTTTTTTTTTGGTACCGGAGATCAAACTCGGGTCCTTGTGCTTGTGGGGCAGGCGGTGGAACCACTGAGCTAAATCCCCAGCCCCCATCACACAAGCTTTTATCATTTCTTTGTGGTTAGAATATTCAGTCTTCTCTTCTGGGCTGCAGGTGTAGCTCGGTGGTACAGCACTTGCATCCAGCACAAGGTCCTAGGTTCCATCCCGGTAGTGCAAAATGCTCTCTCTGGGTTTAAAATACACAGTATTTTTAACTGTATTCACCTTACAGGTGAACACCACACCATATTCCTCCTCTCTAACTGTAAATTAATCCTATTCCCGCCCTCCCTCCATCTTCCCCACCTCTCGAACCACTCCACCTTTATTCAGGCAGTTTTTATGAGTCAATCAAAAATAAAACCTAAAAATAATGAAGCTCTCTGTGTCTTAAAGGTTTGAGATGAAAAAATCTCCAGAGTTCATTGTTAAGTTAAAAAACTGTATAAAATACATTGCCTTACCAGTAAAAATAAAGGAAGAAATCAAAATCATTTTCAAAATTGTGTAAAGCAAAATCGTAGAAAATACACTAAAAGCTAAGAGCAGTGATTGTCTATTGAGGAGGAGTAGAAGCTGGATGGAGAAGGAAGCAGCCTGGGAAGGAGACTTTGCTTATTTTATACTTTTAATGTTTTTGTTAAAATCCCATAGCCATACAACCTACCCAAAGGTAGAATTTACATTAGGATTTGAAAGAAAAAAGAAGCAGCAGTTATCATGTGTAAGGTCGTCATTAGAAGTTGTAAGAGGAAGGAGAAACTGTAGGGAAGATTCTGATTTGTGCTGTGGAGAGAAAATTGTGATGTGGATATTAAAGAACGTTGGGCTGGAGTGTAGCTCAGTGCTACAATATGTGCTTAGTGTGTGAGAGGCCCTGGATTCAATCCTCAGCACAGAAAGATGATAGATAGATAGATAGATAGATAGATAGATAGATAGATAGATAGATAAAATAACAAAGAATATGGGCTATGATTCATGGTTTTCCTCATACTTCCTAACATAACAGCCCTGTGCTACAGTCAGAAATGATGAGGAAGGGCCAGAGATGTAGCTCAGTGGCACTGCACCCGCCTGGCAATCCCCAATACCAGGGGGGGAGGGGTCATGAGGAGAGTTGGGGTGTAGCTCAGTGGTAGAGCACAGGCCTAGTGTGTGGGGGTCTCTGGTTCTATCCTCAGCACTGCAGAAAGAGGAGGAAGGAGGAGAGGGCAAAGAGTGAAGAAGAGGAGAGGAGGAAGGGGAAGGGAGGGAGGGAAAAGAGGAAGATGAGGTAGCAGTGGCGGCAGCATAGGGAAAATGGAACTCACATGAGAAATAAAATTCACAAAAGGGAAGGTGCTCGGAAGCAGAAAAGACATGTCTGTAGTATGACAGTGCATAGGTGTTAGATGAAGATGTAAGATGAAACGCTATTGCAGTTTACTAATTTTATGTCCTGGATAAGTTAATTTCTTCTAGCCTCAGTGACTTATCTCTAAATTGAATTGATATACATTTTAGAAATATAAGTTATGAAAGTATGAAAATTAAATAAAACCGCAGTAGAGTACTTAAATATTGAATCAACTTATGGGGAAGAGCATTGTTGAGAACACCACACTATTCATCCTGAAGATTGAAGACATTGCGGCATGAATTGGAGCCTATCTGAGGGCCATTCTTCTCCCAGGAAGAAGAAGAGGTAAATAGATTAGCAGGAGGGCCCAAGGGTCTCAGCAGAAGCATTTCTTAAGAAGCAGTGACAGTTATGGACATTTAGAGATGATCTTTTTTTATTTGAAATCCTTACCTGAACAAGGTAGTTTCTTTTACTACTCCCAACATACATCGTGTGCCTTCTGCTCCCAATTTGTTTGCCGTTGTTGTATTTTTAAAAACTGGCAGCAGGGGCTGGGGATTTAGCTCAGTGGTTCCGCTGCCTGCCCTGCAAGCACAAGGACCCGAGTTTGATCCCCAGTACCAAAAAAAAAAAAACCTGGCTGCAATATCCTCTCCTTTTTCTGTCCAGTGCACACAGATCTATTCATGGTTTACATAGGATCCATCTACTTTACTTGATACCTACTTTCATAGTTTCAAAACATCCTAAATGCATTTATTTCTGAAATGAATTTCTCATGCTGTTTTTAAATTATATAAAAATTGTTTCCATGCAACAAACTGTATAAAAACTAAAACGAGTATTTCATGAGTTTTGGGGGGTTATTTTTAGATTAAATCATACTAAGTTGCCAGATGCCAGTGGACTCAAATGTACAATCCTCCTGCCTCAGCTTCCCCTGTGGCTAGGATTATAGGGGTTTTCCATTTCTCCCAGCTAATACATATTTTATGTCTCAGAAGATGATAGAAAGACAGTTATTAATTATTTATTTGACCTGAACTCTGGATTACTCTGAATCCTGAAGACTGTCAGCACAGTGGCTCAGACATCCTTTTTCCTAATGCTGCTCTTTCCCTCCTTCTCCTGAGGCCCCTTTCAGAACAGTTGCTGTGTGAGTGCCAATGTGCTTGGTTTCAGGAATCCCTGACATTCCAGGATGTGGCTGTGGACTTCACCAAGGAGGAGTGGGAACAGCTGTACCCTGCTCAGAAGAATCTCTACCGAGACGTGATGCTGGAGAACTACAGGAATCTGGTTGCCCTGGGTGAGGAGAGTCCTGTGGGACTGGGGCCACTCACAGGCCTTACTTCCCTCAGCAGGAGAGTCTCAGTGCTCTGGGGATGTGGTGTAGCCCCCAGCAGGAGAAAGCTCATCACTATGGAGACAGAGCCTTGTTCCCTGCTCTCTCCCCCAGGTGAAAGATCCTAACTTTGTGCAGTTTGATGTGAGGAGCTTTCTCTTGCTGCCTCTGAAGCCTCTGCTGTCCAAACCCAGAGGCCCCAAGGACTGAAAAGGGTGGAAATGGGCTCTGAGGGAGAATTCTGCTCCCGGTATAAAATGCTGAGATGTACATTTTCCCATGAACAGGGCATCAGGTTTATAAGCCAGCAGTGATCACTCAGCTGGAGCAGGAAGAGCTGTGGACCAGAGGAGGAGGCCACCCTGTGGGAGCTCCCCTAGGTGAGAAGTGGGCACATGGGCATCTGGTTCTCACTGAGGGAAAGGGTCACTTCTAGAATGTTCCATGTCATGTGCTGTCAGTCTCCCTCTGGGATTTCGAGAGTACTAAGTTGCAGGTTTCCCAAATGCAAAAGACTATTTTTTTCTGATTGAACAGAAAACATATATTGATTGTGAACAAAATTTACCCAGTACAAAAGTTCTTTTGCAAGTTTGAGCACCCATAAATACCTTGATGTTATGGTTCTCCACACTGCATTTTTGTCTGTAATTTTTGTTCATATATCTTGTCAGTATTCTTTAAATCTTTCTTTTCCAAATCAAAAATCCTCCATTATTTTTACCTACCTTTTCTTTTCTTTTTTTTTTTTTTAAGTTTTCAATAGACTCAGTATAAGTATATTTAACAGAAATACTATCTTCAGGTACATTTTATTATTTCGTATGTATGATTTCTCAAGTGATATTTTAAGATCCTTGCAGAGGCCACATATTACAGTTCTTTTCTACCGATATATCAACCTTTTGTTTGGAAACTAAGCTTTACAAAAGGAGGAAACACAATTGTAATAATGTAAGATCTAGATTAAACCCCAGCTCTGAAACCTAGCAAGGCTTAGGTAATTTCATAAGCTTCACTTCTTTAAATGTAAATACATCTCATTTGAGGATCACCCTACAAATGCCCTAAATAAAAGTATCACAGATAACTAATCATAAAATAAATAAGATTTGTGGTTCAGGAATTTGTATGTTCACCTTGCAATTTTTCATGTTATTTTCAAATAAAGAATTGATGTGATTTTTATTTTGCACTTCAGCAAAAGGAATTCTTGTGTACAACGAAGATAGTATATATTTACATAGAAATGTATTACTCAAAGAATTGGCTCTGTAATGTGTCTCAGTATGGCACACAGATTTTTAAGTATTTTAAGTACAGTATTGTGTTACCTATATTATTGAAATTTAATGTATGATAGCATTTTAATATCAGGCATCATAATTCTAATTTAGTCATCTTCAGAATATTCTAAAATATTACATCTGTTACTTCATACATGTTTCCAGTAACCCTATGATCTTCTACAAGTGAACTCTCTCTTCTCTTTTCTTCTCTTTTCTCTTTACTCTTTATCTCTCTTCCTCCTTCATTTCTATATCCTTGAGGTAACTTCCACCACCTCATTGGATGTATATCAGCATAAGGAGGTTTGCCTTCAGCCATTTCTATAGAAGTAATGCCAAGCGACCAGGTGTCAGCCACACAGTTATAGCCTATTTCTTGAATTACCTCAGGAGCCATCCAAAATGGAGTTCCTATCACAGTATTGCGTTTTGCCATTGTATCTGTTAACTGACCAGCCACTCCAAAATCTGCCAATTTTGCATGTCCTTCTGTATTGAGAATGTTTCCAGCTTTTATATCTCTGTATTTTTCTCATAGTGCAAATATTCTAATCCTTTCAATGTAGATTTTAGAATGGTTGCAATTTCATCTTCTGCTAATGTCTTGTTTTGTAATCTAATTATGTCAGAGACAGAGCCAGCTCCCCAGAACTCCATAACAATCCAGAGGTCTGTGTTCTTAAAGTAACTGCCATAGTACTTCACAACATATGGGCTGTCACACTGTTGCATTATGGAAATTTCTTTGATGATTTCCTGAAGATCAGATTCAACAGGTACTTGTTTAGTCGCAACAACTTGGCGAGATTCTTTATGTATTGCTTTAAAAACATTTCCATAAGACCCTTTTCCAAGCTTCTCTAAGACATCAAAAACTTCTTCAGGCTGCTTAGTCAAACTGTCTTCACTCAGCTTTTTTACTCCTGGGCGCCGGCGGTGCCTCCATGGCGGTCCTGAGCAGAAAGAGGGAGGGGGTGGACCCTGGAGGCCGGAGGGAGGAAAGGAGCTGAGCCCGGGTAACCACAGGGGGAAACTCCGGGAACTCGACCAACTTTCCCGCAACTCCATCATGGCGGATCTCCCTCCTGCTGCGGAGCGCGGCTCCTCCCACCCCGCCCAGCCCTCGGCCTGGGGGGGGGGGGCGCTACTTTTTCTTTTTTCACTCATTTTACTGTCGAACTCTTCAAAGTTATCATCTGAACCCATAACTTCATTTCTAATTCTCTTGCTCACCTTTGTGATACAACCCCACCCCTCCCCTATGCTGCTAAAATTGCTTTCTTGGAGATTATTACTATGTCTGTCCCGTCAAATCCAGTGGCTAAAAGCCCGTGAGGGTTTGTTGCCTTTCATTGTGTGACTTTACCTTCTGGAATTTGGCTTCCACCCTGGCTGTGGATCCGCTGTTCCTGTCCATTCCAGCTGTCTCTGCACCTCACGGCCCTCCCTCACTGCCTTCTCTTCCTCCTGATTCTCCTGAACTCAGTTTACCTGTGGCCTTGGTGCCTGGCTGTGCAGCGCAGTGCTCTTCAGTAACTCTGATGTCATTTTTCCATTTCTACATTCTTGCCCCCAATATTTCACCCATGTTCTCCTTCCAGGATTTAAATTACACTTTTGTTTATTAACATCATTTAATTAAATACATACCTCAGTAACCCTCCATGGCTCTCAAACTGGGCAGTGGGACATTAAAGGAAGAAATTGAAGAACTCCCTTTTCAGATGATTACCAAGGTCAGAACCTATAGCAGAGGGCAGAGCTAACCTTATCCATCATATAATGTGTATACTACTGTCTGTAGGATCTACACTGTTTCCTGTTGTGTCCCTGCCTACATACCTCCAACCAGAAAAAAAAATTATAACTTAAAAAACTTCAGATTTCATTATGCAGCTCCATGTAGGTACCCATGGCTCTTCTTTGCAGATCACCTTGAATAAGGGATTTTTCTTTCACATCCCTTGTCACAGACAAGCAGCCTAAGAGTCTAGTTAATTCTAAGGAAATTACTTCCATTTCTTCATTTCCTGGGACATACTATCAGTGGCTCCTTTTATGAGGACGTGGCAAAAACATTTCTGTTGCTCAAAGAACTGAGAGAATGATCTACACTTGTATGACTGAATTCTGGCGTGTCCTCTGGGGCACTGCATCCCTCCTTGTTATTGACATTGCTAGTATGTATTTTTCTGAAGTCTCTTTTTAGCTAAGAATAGACCAGAAAATGGATTTAGCCAATCCAATGGATTTAGCAACAAGGAGGTTGGTAACTACAGTAGTACCTCCGTTCATGAACTTAATTCTTTCCACCATTTTGGGGAAGATAGTCGCGGTCATGTTCATCACTCAATGCAGAGTTCGCAAACAGAAGCAAAAGTCTGTCAAATGCTTCTATTCTCAAACCAAACTGTTCAAAAACAGAAGTGTTTGTGAACCAAGGTGTTACTGTGTACAGTGTTAATGAGCAAAGTGATGTGGATGGTGATTAAAACAGTTTGTATGTGGTTGAGTGAACAAAGAATTTTTTTTAAAAAAGGGCTGGTGTGTATACAGTATTTTTATTTTTATTTTATTTATTTATTGGTACCGGGGATCAAACTCGGGACCTTGTGCTTTCAAGGCAGGCAGCAGAACCACTGAGCTAAATCCCCGGCCCTGTATTCAGTATTTTTAGAGGAAGCTAGAGTGAGAAGGTGAGAGAATAAAGAGAACATTAGCTAGAATAGAAGGTGGTGTCAAGAGGTGATTGCCCTAGGGCTGGGGATTTAGCTCAGTGGTTCCGCCGCCTGTCTTGCAAGCGGAAGGTCCCAAGTTTGATCCCTGGTACCAAAAAAAAGTGATTGTCCTAAGCAAGAATGATTTTAATTTGTTAATAGTGCTAAAGGCAAGGAGTCAGTAAAGAGGGTAAGTAGAAAATAGATACAAGAGATGATCCAAGGTTCCAGAAGACCTGGGAATGTGATTGAAGGGAAAATCAGGGGAACAGCTTAAGTAAATAAATTTTTTGGTGGAAGATGTGAGGCAGTGCCACAGAGTGACTTCTAGTTTCTTGGCAATTTAGGAGGTAAGGTCTTCTGTTGAGTGTAAGGAATTAGGAAAGCTGGTAGAGGTGGGACTAAAGGAGGAAATTTGTGTAAAAGAAAATTAGTTAATTCCAGTGATTTGACATAGTCCAGGAAGTGACAGGAAGTAAGAAGGAAGCCTAAGAGGACTGAAAAGCAGAATCCAATAGAAGAGTTAAAGAAATAGAGATCGAGATGAGGTCAGAAAACAGTTAAAATGTAAGGCCCTGAGATCACTGATTGGACAGAGTGGAACACTGAACAAGAGATATCTTAAGTGAAGCAGGCAAGGTTTGGAGCATCTGTACAGCCAGGTAAGTAGATTGTTGAAAAGGAGTAAAGATAAAGGCAAACCAGTTAAGAAACAAGGTGGAAAAGATGAGCCAACTTAACAGCAACTAAAAAAACAAAAAGGAATAATCTTCTACAACACCTGCATGAGGAAAAACCTTAAAACATGTCTGGAAGATCCAAAAATAAAGTGGACATTCCAAGATGTCAGTGTTCCTTATACATGTAAGGCAGTCTATAAAATGTGCCTTAAAAATCAAGGAGAAGGGCCGGGGATTTAGCTCAGTGGTTGTGCCACCTGCCCTGCAAGTGCAAGGACCCGAGTTTGATCCCCAGTACCAAAAAAAGAATCAAGGAGAAGGTCTGAGCGTGGTGGCACATGCCTGTAATCCACTTGGGAGGCTGAGGCAGGAGGATCACTGTGAATTGGAGGCCAGCCTGGGCTACATAGTGAGTTCAAGGCCAGTGTGAACTACATAGTGAGACCCTGTCTCAAAGAAAAAATCAGGGAAAAGGCAGGTATGCTAGTGTATACCTGTAATCTCTTTGGGAGGCTGAGGCAGGAGGATCGCCATAAGTTCAAGGCCAGCCTGAACTACATAATGAGACCTGGTCTCAAAACAAAACAAAACAAAATAATGACAGTAATATTTTAAAAGTAATGGCATATCTGAATAAGCTCATTCTAAAGGTCATATGGAAAAACAAAACCACAACAATAATCAGGGAAACTCTGAAAAGGAAAAACTAAAGGGGATTATCTCTAGAACATTAAAATACAGAATAAAGTTTCATCAGTTCAAACAAATCAGAACAACTGAATAGAAAAGGAAATTCAGAAGTAGATCAAGTACATATGAGCATCCAGTATAAGGGCATTATTTAAATTAGGTGAGGGAAAGGGAATATTTTAGTAAATAATGTATTTTGAAAGGTCGACCTTTAATAAATGGTGAGTAGCATTCTGGAGAGAAAAAAACTTTATCCATACTTTACCCTTAAACCACACATTTTAAAATTTCCCCTTGCTCACTGCTTCTTGTCATCCCTTATAGCCTTTCCCCTTGTTATATGGCCACAGACCTTCAGTGCCACATATGCCATGTACATATTATTGTCAGTTTTATTTTGTAATTTATTATGCAGAAATTGGCTTTTCAAACCATGGAGAATATGTGAAATATTTGTATGTTCTATAACTCTTTTAGATGGGGATAATGGACCTAAAATCAAAAAATCAACTCTAAACCAGAATATTTCTGATAAAAATCAAACCTGTGACATCATTATGGAAAGACTAACAGGAGACAGTTTCTGGTATTCCATCTTAGGAGGACTCTGGGATTTGGATTATCAGTTTGCATTTAACCAAGAAAACCAGCAGAGACATTTGGGACAAATATCTTTCATCCACCAAAAGATTACACAAGGAAGAAGCATTAAAGGTAACAAATTTGAAGAGAACTATAAAAAGAACTCAAACCTTATACATCAGAGGGTTCCTTCAATTAAAACACCCCTTAATTATGACACACCAGCAAATAGCATCAAACATAATTCAGACTTGATTTATTACCAGGGAAACTATGTAAGAGAAAATCCTTATGAATATCATGAACGTGGAAAAATCTTCAGTCAACATGTTCTCACTAATCATATTCATACTGGAGAGAATCCCGGTGAATGTGGAAAGGGCTTCAGCCACAATTTGTCTCATATCCAACCTCAGATAGTGCTCACAGGAGAGAAACCCTATAAGTGTGATGAATGTGGGAAAAGATTCAGCCAGAGAATACATCTTATTCAACATCAGAGAATTCACACAGGGGAAAAACCTTTTATATGCAATGAATGTGGGAAAGCCTTCCGTCAACATTCTTCCTTCACTCAGCATCTGAGGATCCATACTGGAGAGAAGCCTTATAAATGTAATCAATGTGGGAAAGCCTTTAGCCGCATCACATCTCTTACTGAACATCATAGACTTCATACTGGAGAGAAACCTTATGAATGTAGTTTTTGTCGGAAAGCCTTCAGCCAGAGGACGCATCTTAATCAACATGAAAGAACACATACAGGAGAGAAACCCTACAAATGTAATGCATGTGGGAAAGCCTTTAGCCAGAGTGCACACCTTAATCAACATAAGAAAATTCATGCCCGTGAGAAATTATGTGACTATACATGTAAGAAAACTTTAAGCCACCAGCCTTCACTTAGCAGCATATAAGTTGTTGGGGGGGGGGGGTAAACTGAATTTATAAATGTGGAAAATTTTTATCAGACATTTCTATTCAATATCAACTTACTCATTTTGGAGAGAAAGTTTATAAATAAACTTCTATTGCATAGAAACCAAATGTATACTTTAAACTAGTAGCATTATATTCCTAGTAGGGGTTATAACTAGTGAAAATTATTTTATAAACAAAAATATATTGAGCCATGGTCCAAATCTGATATAAAACTTTTAAAATAAATGAACAGAAATTCTGTAGCAAATAACTATTATTATTCACATGTAAGTTTTATGTTATGAAGCATTGAAATTATATGAACATTAATTAAAGCAGTGTTGTATTATCAGTTACATAAACAAAATAAAAGAGCAATACTTCTAAACTTCAGTCTTTTTTTGGCTTTTTAAATAGTTTTTACTATACCCAGTCTTATTTTTTAAAGGAGCATATGATTTTTAGTGTGGCCTTGGAAATATTATTTATTGAAATTCTGAGTTTTATATGTTAATTACACTTTACTTTCCCTCAGATTAAATATATAACTTTTGGAATTAAAAATATTCATTTGTGCACTATATACAGTTTTGTGTACTATCATTGAAAAACAATATGATAGGATATGGCCATAGCCTCTTGGTATTCTTTTAGCACTCTTTGCATCATTGTCTCCAAACAAATCTTAGCGTAACTTTTGGATGACTTTGGCAAACACAGAAGATCATGTTGATGAACTTTGAAGAACTGATTTAGAGAATACTGCTTTTCTGTCTTGTTATACTAGTTTTAAGGCAGGTGGCAGAACTGCTGAGCTAAATCCCCAGCAATTGTTATACTAGTTTTAAATTTCTCTATGGCAAGCATAGATTATTTTATTTTTGGTTACATGTATTAATTGTACATATTGTTCATTTCCATAAGTACATACAGTGTGCACTGATCAAATCCAACCTTTTACTCACTTTTCCCCTTCCCCAATACATACCCTTCCCAACGTCTAGTAATCACTAGAGGTCGATTCATGTGAGAGAACAACAGTGTGTTTCTGCATCTGGGTTATTTCACTTAATGTCCTCCAGTTTCATCCATTTTGCTGCAAATGGCAGAAATTCTTTTATGGTTGAATTATATTCTAGGGTGTATATATACCACATTTTCGTGCTCACTTCAGCAGCACATATATATATACCACATTTTCTTCATCTTGGATGAGTCTTACATGTGGGTCTTTGATCCATGTTGAATTGATGGTTGGGGGTTGGTTACTGGGGATTGAGCTCAGGACCTTCACACTGAACTACATTCCCAGCCTTTTTTTATGTTTTGAGATAGGGTCTCACTAAATTTTCCAGGGTGGACTCAAACTTGTGATCCTCTTGACTTAACCTCCAGATTGCTGGGATTACAGGTATGCACCACCACACCCAGCTTTGAATTGATTTTTGTACAGGAATGGAGATAGAGGCCAAGTTGTAATCTTTTGCATGTGAGTATCCAGTTTTTCTAGCACTTACTGGAGAGGCTGTTCTTCCTCCATGTGTGTGTCTTTGGTACCTATGGGAAAAATCAGCTATGGATGTGTGGGTTTATTTCTAGGACCTATTTCGTGTACCACTGACCTATTCATCTGTTTCTGTGCCAGTCCAGTGCTGTTTGAGTTACTGTGGCTCTGAAGACTATTTTGAAATCAGATATGTTGAACTTCCAGCTTTGTTCTTTTTCTTCAAGATTACTTTGGCTATTTGGGATTGTTTTGTGCTCCCGTATGAATTTTAGGATTCCTTTTTCTAGTTCTGTGAACAAAATTTGGAGGCATTTAGCAAAACAACTGTCTTGGACTAAATGTCAATGTTATGAAAGATAGGGCAGCCCCAACGCGGTGCAGTCTGGGTGAGCATGGCCGCTTCTGGTCTCCTTCCTGGGCGGCGCTGGCCTGACGGCGCCCCCTACTGGCGCACTCCCACCTCACGCGTCGGTCCTCGAGGCTGCCAAGGAGGTCGCTTCAGCCTTTCTCTCGGCTGCCCCCACCGTGTCATGGAGAAGAGCTCCAGCGATCGAAGTCTTGTCTCCGGTTGCCCAGCGTGGACTCCCTGTCTAGTTAATGTGCTAAGAGCCATTGCCATTTAAAGATCATCAAGAAGTGAAGATGAAACATCTCAAAAATTATAACTGCCTCCACTTCTCCTTCAGAGAATTCAGTGCATACAAAGTCAGCTTCTGTTACATCATTAGATTCCATCTCAACTTCTGCAGATGGCTTTTCTCTGATTTGAGGGTCCTGGGGGAGTCTTAACACATTATCAGATATGGAGGAACCACCCTTATTTCCAGGAGAAAATATTAAAGACATGGCCAAAGATGTAACTTACATATGTCCATTCACTGGTGCTGTAGGAGGAACTCTGACAGTCAAGAATTACAAGTTAAGGGCCGGGGATTTAGCTCAGTGGTTCTGCCTGCCTCGCAAGCACAAGCTCCCGAGTTCAATCCCTGGTACCAAAAAAAAAAAAAAGACAAGTTATATTTCAAAAGCATGGAATGGGACACACACATACACACATTTGTTTTAGGTGCTTCTCTTGGTGTGATAAGTAAAGTATAAAAAATTGGTGGTGCTTCTAGTTGTAAAAATTCTGATGGATTCGAAACCACGTGTAAGGGTATTAGGAATTTACAATTTGCTCATAAAACTGAGGGGCAAACACGGAGATCCATATTTGAGAATCTGATGAAATATTTATTTCCTGTCTCTACCCTTTGTGCTTTTGAATACAAATATTCCCTGAAAATGGATGAAAACTATATGACCCTCTAGTTTTAGAGTATAGAAGGTAGAGAATTCCAAATTAAAGCTGGAGAATAACAGATAAATGAACAATATGAACTTTGTGATATATACCCTACCCTCTGGGTTATGCCAGTAAGTACTCCTAATGAAAAATTAAAAGAGTGTTGCCCTTCAGGACAAGGGGCTGTATTCCAGTTTTATCATGGATCATCCTGGAAGTCAAGCCACAGTCACTCAATATAGCCAGCCCATGGTAGGAGTGAGTGGAAAGCAAAGAAGATGAAAAATACCTTCAAGCTATCCTGGATTCCAATGCCCGGGCTCATAAAATCCTTATATTTGATGCCTGATCAAGTGTTAATACTGAGGCCAATAAGGCAAATGGTGGAGGTTATGAAAGTGAAGATGCTCATCAAAATGCAGAGCTAGTTTTTCTGGATGTCCACAATATTCACGTTATGAGAGTCATTCAAAAAAGATTGTGCCCGACTATTGAGGAAACTCATTGGCTGTCTGACCTGGAATCTACACATGGTGAGAGCATATTAAGCTTATTCTTGCAGGGGCTCTTAGAACTGCTGACAGGGAGAGTCGAGGGAGACTTCTGTGGTGGTCCATTGCAGTGATGGTTGGGATTGTACAGCTCAGCTAACTTCCCTTGCTGTGCTCATGTTAGATGGATACTATCGAACCATCGGAGGGTTTGAAGTCCTTATGGGAAAAGAGCACCTAAACTTTGGACATCGATTCTAAGAGTTGACCATGAAGATAAGAATCATGCAGATGCAGACAGATCACCTGTGTTTCCTTCCGTTTATTGACTGTGTCTGGCAAATAACAAGACAGTTTCCTACCACATTTGAATTCAATTTCCTTGTTTTCACGTTGGGCCACCTATACAGCTGTTTATTTGGAACATTCCTCTGTAACAGTGAACAGCAGAGAGGAAAAGAGAATCTTCCTAAAAAACCTTGTCACTGTGGTCTTATATAAATAGGCAGCTGAAAAACTTCACCAGTCCTCTCTATGGTAGCTATTCCAATCGTGTCCTTTAACCTGTAGGCAGCATGCGCCACCTACAGCTCTGAGTGGGATATTACATAAAGTGGAATCCACAGGTACCTGTTCACAGCAGATAGAACTTCTTGCTAAAGGAGCAGAGCTTCAGAAAAAGAGAACTATAAAAAGAAATGTCCAGCCAGTCAACTTCATCCTCAGAGAGAGCAGCTCTCCCGCACAGTGTGTCACTCCTGTCCGAACTGCTGTATGAAAGGACTATTAGATTAAGGGTATCATTGCTATGAACTTTTCATTACAGTGGCAGCTTTATGAATAGAAATTCTTCCATATTTGAACTCATCTGTGAAAGAAAAAGTTCAGACACTTTATGTTGTCTCTCTAGGATGAGTTTAGAACTACACAGTATGGGTGGCTTCATTTGTATTTACACAATTATAACACTAATCTTATGTCACCCAAAGGATATTAAAACACTTCAATCTTGTATCCACCATGGGAACAAGTTTCTAATTTAAAGGGAAAAAGTCTTTAAAACTTTGGCATCTGTTAAGATCAAAACACAAACTACTTTATAAAAACTGGCCTGCCTTCACAATCTCTTTTGGAACTGCCTTTTTGTGGTCTGAGACAAAACTCTGTACACTACCCCAGTGGAACAGTACACATACTACAGCAGGAAGCCTAGAAAGAGAGAGGAAGGGGCCTGTGACATAGCATTCAAGGACCTGCCCCGCAGTGACATGCTTTGACCAGACCCACCATCTCCCAATATCCCATTAAGTGATGAACAAACTCACCAATAGATTATCCCTCACGATACCATCATTTCCCAAATCCCTATCTCTGAACATTGCTGCTTTGGGAGTCAATCCTACAAACACGTTTGGGGGACACTTCATAAACCGTAACAAAAATTAATATTCAGGGGGAAAGGAACCTTTATATACTGTTGGTGGGAGGGCCACTATGGAAAATGGTATGGCGCTTTCTTTAAAAACTAAAAGCAGAACTACCATGTAACTAACGCAGCTAATACCACTTCTGGATATATATTCGTATTAAGTGAAGTTAGCATTTAAGAGATAACTGCATGCCCATGTTTATTGCAGCATTATTCATAATACCTAAGGTATGAATCAGCCCAGGTGCTCATCATCAGATGTACGGATAGAGAAAATATATACACACAATGGATTTATTCAGCTGCAAGGAAGAATAAAATCATGTCCACTGCAAGAAAATGGATGAAAGCAGAAGACATTGTAATGTGTACAATTAATATGGGTTAACCAAAAAACAGACTGGGTCGCCACGAGCTTCCGGTTTTCTCCGAGACACCGCTGCTCCTCCAGAGAAAATAGCCACTCCGGGAGCACCACGCAGGCGAGAGACACAGGCAGATGACGGGGTGGGAAAGCGCGGGGCTTTGTCGAGTGGGGTGGATAGGTGGACCAGCGCCTCTAGGATGGAAGCGTCGGTTGTCCGCCAAGGAGGATCGAGAAAACCGGAAATCAGAGGAGGTCGCTGGGAAGGCGCACGCGCGGGGCAGGGAGGAAGGAGGG